AAAGGTGGGCGTGTTCCGAGCGGCCGGCGTCAGAAGTGCTGAGCCGCCCCCCGGAAGTATTGGAAGAGGACTCGGCGCTGCGCGGGACTGGCGGGGAAAGGTAAGCGCTTGTCACACCAGGAGGTGTGAGGGTCTGGGAGGGAGGGTCTGCTGCTGATTGGCTGGAATGTGTCTGCTGACTGTGAGGTACAGGGTCAAAGTTTACTCAATGATGAGTCCGTGGCGAACCATTCGGCGAACCGTTCGGGACATCACTATTTCTCAAGTGTGGAGCACAAGTGCAAGTTTTTAGTATATGTACAAATATTTATGAATACTTAACATCCTCATTATATTTCTGCACTGAGTAGACAATATCCGATATCCTTATGTGGGATAGCCATAAATGTTAAAATTATGGAGATTTTCACACACACACTTTCATGCACACTTATATACATATTAAGAGACACAAACACACACACACACACACACACACAAAAGAGATTTCTTTTATGTTGTTTTTTTTTTTTTCAGAGATCCACCCAGTCTCCCTAGATATGAAGTGAATACTCTCCTTGGGATTCAATAGAGCTGCCGGGTTCACAGTGATTTTCATGCACAGCTCCCATCCTCGCCCTGTAGCTATGCTAATGCCAGGGAGACATCACATTCCAGCTGCCGGCCACTGGCAGAACAAATGTAGAGAGGGCCCAGGTGGCCAAAAGGTAGATCATTAACTGTTGCTTTGCTATCTAGGGATCTACCATTTGTCCATCCTTACAGGGTTGCATTTGTGAGCAGTATCTGTGTGTTTCAATGTAAGGATGTTTTGCATACAGGCTCTCCTCACTTATCAGTTCCGTTTGTAGCGGATGGCCATGAGCTGCCCTGGGACTTGTATTATATTTAACCTGTATTCGTCTATTTGCTAAATGTATAGGCAGTAAGGGAATGCATTCGTGTAAAATAGCAAATTTCTTTGTGCTAAATGTATTGTATTCGTCTGAATGTTAGGTAGTTTCATTCCCTTAGTTTGTTCGAATGAAACTACGAACAGTCAGACCTCCCCTGTGTGAAGTGTGCCTTCAATTACCCGTTGCAACATTGTTGCGAACGGGTAATTGACAAGCTGTGTAGCAATCCTTTGTTCTCGGGGGTGGCCGCCATTCGGGAAACGAACACGTGGCGGCGGCCACCTTAAACTCCCGAACAGCGGTGTTTTGCCGTCGAGTGTCTGGAACTCAAAACACTCGACTAGGCAAACACAGCATAATCAACCGAACGAGGGGATTCAGGCGATCCCTCCCCAGCCTGGAGGCTTTCAGGTACTTCATTCGCCTTTTCCAGGACTGACCGCAGGGCCCAATCGTATGGAGCCCAATTCGGCTAGTTCATCCAGTGCAGTCGGTCATTTTATTTCCTCCATGAAATTCCCGAACCCCTGGTCTGATCTGGGTGATTTTTGGATATGTTGTTCACCCAGATCAGGGCTACCAGGGGATGCATAATTTAAAGTGGTACCCCTAGGTTTAGGGGTACATCCAGAAATGGGGGGAATTGCTGTACTGGATAAGGGGATTATGATGCCGGCTGAGGGGAGGAGATGTGTGGGAGGTTACCAGGACAGGATTGGCTATTGTGTTAATGAATGTAATCCCTCCCTTTCATGGGAGCATGCTTTAAAATGCCAGTGTGGAATAAAGCTTTCAGTTCTGCTCCTGATGCTGTGTGTCGTCCAGTCATTGGGATTGCTGTGGGGATACTATTGGATTATTTTGCCTGTTGGAAACCTTGCCTGTGGATTTATAATTTACTTGTTCCTGAGCCTCACTGGGATCTTAAGTGGAGATAATCTGGGGAATATTGTATCTCCGCTACACCGTTCTTACTCAGTCATAAAACGAATTGGTCGGTAAGTGAGGATGCCTTACAGAGCATGCGCACGAGTGCAGGTCTATGTTTGGGGAAATTTCCCCGAACATAGACAAACGCACCAGAGCAGGGAATCCCTCTAATCTATGTTTGGGGAAAATTCCCCGAACATAGAGCAGCTCTCTAACGTGGGGAATTCTTTGAATACCCACACTAGAGAGTTGGTCGTAAGTCTCAATCGTTAAACAGGTAAGTCATAAAACGAGGACTACCTGTATAAGTGTATAAATGCAGGGATGTATTTGTGTGTAGTGTTGGCGTTTGAATACAGTTGTTTATTTGTGTGCAGTGTTGGTGTTTGAATGCATGGTGCATTTGTGAGGAGTGTTGGCATCTGAATACAGGGGTGATACACATAGACACATACACACTTACAGGCCACAGGAACACAGATACAAATACAGATACACACTGACACACAGAAGCAAACATACAAGTCATAATTTACATATTTTTAGCCATCATTCTGTTTCCATACCTATTAATTGAAGGAGAGTGTGCTGTGGTTCATAGGAGCCTGAGGGGTGCATAATGTTTCTGTCAGACAGTTTCTTCATCTCATCTCTGATTCCAGAATTAGGGATCATAGATTATGTCAGTCACATAATCTAGCAGCAGACCTCCACTGTCTCTGGTCCATGCCTCAATTTCCTCCTTCCCACCCCCTCTTACCCTGGCAATGGGCCGTCTCTGGCAAGTCACCGCTCTCCTCACCTGGAATCCATAGTGACAGTCAGCCAACTGATGGTCCCCGACACAGCACCGGATTGGTGGCATAATTTTCCACTCCGGCTCCACCTCCTCCCTCTCTGCCATCTGCCACAAGCGTCTCATTTTGGAGAACCCTGCTTGGGGCTGTGAACTACCGGCAGTGCTAGCGAGGCATTTTGTTACTTCCATCTCCTTATATTACATTGTATACAGTATAATTATATTACAATCACTGTATTACAATTATTGTATATGCTGGCGTATAAGTCGGCACATTTTTGGGGGGTCAGTTTATCTAGCGAATATAGACCTAAACGTATATTACACGTCTAATTTTGGAGGGGATGATGCTGGGTCAACTTATACCCAACCGTATACAGTACATTATTACCAGCTCCAGTAACCCAATAATTGCTTCCGACTCTGAATCCACAGCACTGGTTTCAAACAACCTTGTAAACCAATCTTGCTCTCTCTTGTGGTTAACTCTGCTCTGTGGTGTATCATTCTTTATGTTTTCTTTATTCTGCCCTATTGGTTATATGGCAGGTTACCGACTTAAAATCCAGTGGTTCCCAAACCAATGCTCATGGCCCAGAAACAATTGGGGATTTATCTAATTCCTTTTTTTATTCCAATAGAGATACTGACAAAACCTGGACTGTTGCTGCCGTGAGGACTGGTTTGGGAACCCCTGCATCCTTGCTCCCTACATCAAACCAACTTTGCTATGAATAATGCTTCCAGCCTAAGCAAAGTCACCAGGAGACCTGGCTCTGTTGATTTATTTCTTGCTCTCAGAGCCAAAACAAATAATCCTCTCTCAAAATTGTGAAACTCATAATGAAAGATGTGCTTGATTAGAAAGAGGAAATACTACTAGGTCAGATATCTAAGGATTCCAAAGAAGTTTAGTAATGTGTAATGATTTAAATTTAAAAAATCTTAATTAGCAAGTCTAATGAATATGATTGTGCAAGCAATAAATGTATGGCAACTATCATTGGTTCGGGGTATTAAGTAAATTTAAATCATACTGGTCTTTAGAAAGAAAATTTGTAAAGTGCGGATCCATTTCATTTGATTTTGAATTAAAGGAACACTCCATGCAACATAACGACTACAACTGTAGTGGTTACAGAGCCAAGAGTCACCTGGCGCCATTTTAGAACAGTTTTTAAATGTACCTGGTTCCTCCTGGTATCTGCATGTAGGAAAAGCTGAATATAGAATAAAATGCACTCACTTGCTGGCTCGCAGTGACACTCAGGTTAGTTGTCATACCATACTAAAACGATTCGACAACGTACTGTTGGATAATGCCAGAACACCACAACCACTGCAGCAGGCTAAGCTTTGATTTATCAAGATTTCTATGCATGCCACGTATAGATACACTAAATAATGCACAGGGTACCCGGGGGGCAAAGATTGCTCTGGGCAGAATGATAACTATTGCAGTCAAATGGTGAAACTGTGATTGAGATTTAGAGAAAAGCACAAGCACAAAAATACCTTTTTTAGCGATTGAATATTTTGGCCATGCCATATTTAAGTGCATCACTGCCTGAAAGTACTCCAATATCGGTGGGTCCTACACTATTCTTAACATGGGTGATAAACATGCTAACAGCAATACTTACTGCATAAACTGTATCAAGAGTCTCTCCTAGGAGCTATACTATCTTGTTGTCATTTCTAGCAGCTCGCTAGTCAGACGTTTTGATTGGGACACATACACAAACTTTAGCACGGTATATAAAAATCTTTTTTTTTTGTAAGTCTTATTTAAGAAAGGCAATAGTAAAAAGCCAAGGATGACAACATTGCACCAGTGTGCAAATTGAAGTACCACAGCTCAGCAATGTGTTTTCTGAAATGAGGGAGTCGTATTTGTTGCGTGTACTATGAGGTTGTCCATGAAATAATTGTCTTTCATTTTGTGGATAGCCTTTTCAAGAAGAGGGTAAATATCTTTTTTGCTCCCTCAACTATGTAAAAAGTGACTGATGGAACCATGGTGTGTACAAGCCATTAGTCACTAACATTGCGGTGCATGTATGAGGAAGCAGGTGGTTGGACAGCATCCACCAGACCACCATAAAAACGTTCTCCCCTCCTCCTGGAAAAATATAAGAGGGTAGATGAAGGGTTGCCTACCTCCCAAAATGTAGGTGATCCCTAAAGTAATTCAGCACCACAGTACCTTAATATTTCACTGTTTAATGAATTACTTTATTTACTGGGTTACATGACTAAAAAGATGTTTTAAATAAAACAAGTCATCTGCTTCCTCATCCAAACTAACAAAATCTCCCTATTCTCCATCCACAACTAATTACTTTTTCTGCTGTTTTTTTTTCTTTCTTATTTAGAATTCAGACATCTGTGCTTCAGCTATACATGTTGGAAAAATAACCAGCAGTGGTGGATACGTTACTTACCAAAAGCTACCTGCACAGGACTGGTACCAAGGAACCAAACAAAATGGTATCTCGTCCTATGACCTCAGTTATGGGTCAGGATCTTTTGCATTTCTCTAGAGTTCAGTTATGTTACAGTACATGTGAACAGTTCTTGATTGTTTGTTATTTATGTATGTATTTTTGTGTTTTATAGCTACAATTCCTGGTTCTGCCTTAAAGGGTTACTCTAATCAAAAATCAGTGGTTTAAGAAGAAGAATGGTTTTGGTTAGAGTAACTCTTCGTATCTTGGTCTCCCCTCATGTCAAAGTTAAAAAATAAATAGATCAAAGGTAAAACTTAGCTCTGTTCCCACGCCTATGTTTTCCACTTAGCCCGATCTTCCTCTGGGGGAGGAAAGGGCATGCCGCCATTAGACTATTGTTGCCAGTATGGTAAAGAGTTTGTTTAGGTTTTGGGAGAGATTAAATGTAGTGATAGGTAAAAGGGATTTTTATGGCATGAGGAGTTTGAAGGGTTATATGCAAAGTACTCACCTTCACATGTCTACCATAGTCCATTCAGCTTCCTGTTATTGATGGGAGAACTGCAATAGCATTTATACAGAGTGCTGTCTCTGCTCCTCGTGCATGGCACTTCCTGGTTGCTACAGGGGAGATGGGAAGTGTCCATTCCACTGTCTCCTCAGACCACACACAGAACCTGGAGGAGCTGTGACTGCACTTAGTTGTGCACTCTTTGTAACTGTTCCTGCAGCTTTGCTGTCAAAATGTGGAGGCTGACTGAACTACGGAGGACACTGGCCAAGTCCCTTGGCATTTATCTCTTCCCATCAGCCTACGTAAGCTCCAAAAAAGTACATTGTGAATACTGAACGCAGGCGCCTCTTACAGGATATGTGTCTACAGATAGGTGCTGCCTCTGCCTGATGGGAAATGCAACACTGCTGTCAACTACAGAGAGAAAGTTAAAAAAAAAAAAAAAGGAATTGTTTGTTTAATAAACTTGCTACGGTTTAAAGCAAGTACTTTTTTTTTTCTTATCAAAAACAATGTGACTATGTAGTACACTCAATATATGAATAAACAAAAGTAACATATGGAACTCACTGTAATATTTCACTATCTAAAGAAACAATAATAAATATTAATAATAAATGTTTCTGTGTTAATTTTTGACCTAATATACAAAAACAATGGCTCTCATTTTTGGATGTTTATATTTAAAAAATATACAGTCATGGAAAAAAGAAAGTACCGTATATACTCGAGTATAAGCCGACCCGAATATAAGCCGAGGCCCCTAATTTTACCCCAAAAAACTGGGAAAACTTATTGACTCGAGTATAAGACTAGGGTGGGAAATGCAGCAGCTACTGGTAAATTTCTAAATAAAATTATATCCTAAAAAAATTATATTAATTGAATATTTATTTACAGTGTGTGTATATGATGAATGCAGTGTGTGTGTATGAGTGCGCAGTGTGTGTGTATGAGTGCACAGTGTGTGTATATGAGTGCAGTGTGTGTGTATGAGTGCGCAGTGTGTGTATGAGTGCGCAGTGTGTGTATAAATGCAGTGTGTATATGAGTGCGCAGTGTGTGTATAAATGCAGTGTGTATATGAGTGCAGTGTGTGTGTATGAGTGCAGTGTGTGTGTATGTGTGTAGTGTGGATGAATGCAGTGTGTGTGTGTGATGCAGTGTGTGTTTGTGTTGCAGAGCCTTGGTGGGGGGTGGGCATTTTTATTAAAAAAAATAAAAAATTAATATTATTATTTATTATTTTAATTTTTTTGGTTATATTATTTTTTAATTATTTTATTATTATTATTATTTATATATTATTAATTAATATTATTTTAATTTTTTGTTATATTATTATTATTATTATTTATATTAATATATTATGAATTTATTTATTTTGTTGTCCCCCCTCCCTGCTTGATACATGGCAGGGAGGGGGGCTCTCATTCCCTGGTGGTCCAGTGGCATTGGCAGTTCAGTGGGGGGAGGAGGGGGGCTGGCAGAGCTGTTACTTACCTCTCCTGCAGCTCCTGTCAGCTCTCTCCTCCTCCGCGCCGGTCCGTGCAGCTCCTCTGTCAGCTCACACTGTAAGTCTCGCGAGAGCCGCACTATGACCCCGCGGCTCTCGCGAGACTTACACTGGGAGCTGACCGAGGTGCTGACCGGACCGGCGCAGAGGAGCAGGGAGCTGACAGGAGCTGCAGGAGAGGTAAGTAACAGCTCTGCCAGCACCCAGTCTGTATTATGGCAATGTAAATTAATGTAAATTGCCATAATACAGACAGTGACTCGAGTATAAGCCGAGTTGGGGTTTTTCAGCACAAAAAATGTGCCGAAAAACTCGGCTTATACTCGAGTATATACGGTACATACTCTTTGAATTCTATGGTTTTACATATCAGGACATATTAACAATCATCTGTTCCTTAGCAGGTCTTAAAATTAGGTAAATACAATCTCAGATGAACAACAACACATGAAATATTATACCGTGTCATGATTTATGTAGCAAACCCCAGGAAACCCGATTGATTACCTCCGTTAATGCCTCCTCTCAGCCAGACTGGAACCGTCAAACACTCAAGCTAGACAAGACATAGTTCTGGGAGTCAACTGATTTTATTCTGGCCACACACGGCTTTTATGCACTGACCCCTAGCATGGGGTCGCCAACACAAAATTACAGGGTTTTCCTTCCCAGGATCCTCTGTGTCTGAGAGATAATTAATTGAGTTATAGTTTTCTCACTCATCTCTCAGGTACAGGAAAACATATACAAAATATACAATACCCCAAAAGTACCCCCAATATCACCAGGAATCCCAGATTGCTCTGGTCTGAGTGTCCAACGTGGCCAAGAATCACTCAGATCCATTTGGCAGAATTGGATCGCCACCCGGTAAAATTTTGTCTCTGTTCGGGGGTTTCTGTGCGAACACCGTACAAGATTCTTCTGATTTGAGGGAGCGAATGCTCCCCCAGTCGGTAGTTCCCATCTCCCGAACGTCGTTCACATAGCTGGTCGGGAAGTAGGACAAGCAGCGGTATAATCTTTACTGGGGTACGTGCATGTGCCTAGCCGTAAAGGGTTCCATGCACTCGACAACCAAGTACTGCTGCCCACGTTCGGGAGACCAAACGGTTGCCATTCTTTTGTCGACCATGTGTATTAGGTTATCCGAAATGGCAGCCACCCAGGGGAAGCATTCATTAATTACTTCCCTTGCAGTTTCGCACTTAAGTTACTGGTGTTAATGTTCTAATGGAGTACAGGGGTGGTCCTCTTTTGGGAGTCAAATATAATGTATTCACGTATAGTAACTCCCAAACGGATAAAAAGAAAAATCTATGAAAGGCACAGTATGTTCCGACACTTTTTTTTTTTTTTTTTTTACAAAAATAAAGCCAAGACGGAGAAGCCATGTGTCAAAAACTAATTACACCCTTACTGCTTCCATAGAAATGAAGAGGCTAAGTAGCAGACAAATACAACCAAGTGGCCCATTCTGCAGTGAAACCCACTATGCCAACCTACATTTTTTGTGGTTGTGTGAATGCATTATTTGCATTTACTGTCATAGTATGAATATGCAGGGGCTGGATCTATGTGGGAGCGCATTGGTGTATGAATTGTGGAAGTAAATTTGTGTTTACAGTTTGTGTGAATGCAGTGAGTTTTGTACTGTGCACAGAGAATCGGTGTATGGCAATGCAGGAGGTGTAAATTGTGTTAACCGATAAATGTATTTAGGTGTGTGTCAATGCCTGTAGCGATGGTAAGATTTCACAGCAATCAAGGTGGAGAGATCCCTAACTCCCAGCCTTTCAGTTCATATTACTAAATGTTCACCTAACCTGCAAGTGCAACTATTCTATTTTTATCCCCCAACCAGTACAGCTCTCATCTCTAGAAGAGAATATATCCTTCCCCTTCCTCTACAATATTTATTAATACAGCGAAAATGCACTCACCTTTTTCTCTCTCCTGAGTAATATGTCACTAGGGGCTAAGCACACACATACATGAATAACCAAACAGACACAAACACAAATACACACACACACACACATATATATATATATATATATATATATAGTCAGCTACCAATAACCAGACAAAAATAGCAAAAATAGTGAAATACATACACATACACAAATGGCCAAATACACAGACACATGTACCTGAATAGCCAAACACATATGCACAAATAGCAAATCTTGATAATGGAAACCAAGGAGGTGGAGCTGCTGGAATACAAGTTAAGTAAATCTTGCCTTAGGAGGGAAACCTACATAGTCAGTGGAACACAAAAGCATTAGGAATACACGTTTACATTGTCATAACGCTATAGTGTTACTTTAAACACTTCTGCGCCGTATTAAAGTGGCTCTGTCACCTTCTGGCTTATTTGCATATTTTGGCCAGATGGTAACATCACCATGGTGTGCGTGACAGTTCAACACTGAGGTCTATGGAGGATCCCAAAATATCATGTGAGCGTCCTTAGACAATGCCTTTTTCTTCACAGCCGTTACTAGTGACATTTGGGGAAATGACAAAACTTGACGGCGGTAGCTCTGCATTTTTGTCAAATTTTGACAAGCGTAGGAAAAACAAATGAGACAAAGTAGCCTCTACTTTATTTTTTGCTATCTTTCGACTGTCTGTCAATGTGTGTATTTCATAAATATGGGGTGTGAGTGACAGAGCTTTGTACACTACTGAAGCATATAATAAGGGGGGAAAAGAGCTGTAGAGGTTAGTAAACAATGATTACCTGCCTGGCACTCCCATATTTATTTCGACATTGCCATCTGATGCTCATCCATATGCCATAAAATGCCATAGACTTTCCTTCTATAATGTCACAGATACATCATTTAATTTACACACTACACCTGGCATGTCATGTAAACACAAACTTAAAAAAACTAATTAAAAATACACAAGATTTGTATTAAGTTGAAACACAACCCTCAGTTGCAACAGTTCTAGTTTCTGGCCCAGGTTTGTAAAATCAAATTGTTTGTAATTAGAGCTGTAAAGTAAGTATAAGCTTTCTGTAAAAGCTAACTTTCACTTTCAGTCCATAAATCTAGCTACTGCCTAAAAAAATCTTTCAATGGAAAAAACCCCCTGAGGAGGAAACACAAGCATATCACGAGGTTGCTGAATCAGCTGATACTAATCGGATGGGATGATGGAACTTGTAGTCCTGTGACAAACTGCATGTTACCAGTTATTTAATAGTATCTGCATATGGGGAGTTCCAATTGGAATCTTGGATGTGACCGAGTATTTCTGTAAGTGATGAGATATGTTGCTGGCGCTTGCAAACATCACAGGTCTGCATTCTGACTCCTAAGAAACGAAACAGTAACTGGAAATGAGGAAGATTGGAACTTCTGTTCCCATAGTGACCTGCAAGAGTCATGTGATCAGAGCATGTAAAGCCCAGTGCACACTGGCTAGACTAGCATTGCTTGCTTGTGCTGCTAAAGACAGATTGTCAGGTAAGGTTTGCTAGTGTGCAGTTTGTTATAACTCTATATACTGTATGATTCATAGGACTGAGTGAGATTTCAATGGGAAATAACTAATTTTGTAGGTTTATTTTAATTATTTTTATTTTATTAGAAATAACATACAGAAGAGAGCAAGTTGTTGCACTTAAAGGATAGTGTAATTTAATTCGTATCTGCTACCCAATGATCCCTTTGAGAGTGTGTGAGAGTGTCTAACACTTGCATTTACCAATTATGTAATGTGATGGCAAATTAGACTAATAAGGGCAGGGAATGTATGAATGAATGCATACAGGGAGTTTATTCATTTTATTTGGTATTGTGGTGAATAACAAGTTTTAGTGCAAGTGTAATAACCTCATCCAAATATCCTGCAGTTTATCCTCCTCTACCAACCTTCAGTGTGCACTCTGGGACGCCTGTTCCATAGGTAGCAATATTAAATCAACAGCCATACACAACCTCTTCATCTCTAATTCCCTCACACTTCTTGCACTCACTGAGACCTGGCTGTCCCCCTCTGATAGCGCTACTCCAGCTTCTTTATGTTTCGGTGGACCACAACTCTCCCAGACTCGACTGTAAAGGCGGTGGTGTAGGCATCCTTGTCTTCCCTTAATGTAATTTTCAACCTGTTATCCCTGCTCCTGCCCTATCCTTTACTGTCTGCATATTTAAGCCCACTCCTTTAAGAATTGCCATTATCTATCGCCCCCCCCCGGTCATCCATGGCTATTCGTTGAACACTTTTCTTCCTGGCTACTCCACTTTCTCTCCTCTAGCACTCCTTCCCTTATACTTGCGGACTTTTAACATCTCAATCAACAACCTAAACTGCCCTGATGCATCCCGTCTGCTCTCTGTTACCTCCTCCTTTGGCCTCACACAGTGCAGGAAATACTCTTGACCTCATCTTCACCAATCTCTGTACCACCTCCAATCTCTCCACTGTTCATTTTCCTTTATCTGACCACTATCTGCTGACCTGTGACATCGGCATACCCCATGCCCAAATTTCACCAACCTAAACTCTGCAATCGCGCAGAAACCTTTTCTCCACCAAAAGCATTTCTCCACCAAACTCCAAACTCACCTTTTACCCATCTCTAATCTCACTTGCCCTAACTCGGCAACCTCACTCTACAACTCTCCTCTCAACTAGACATCATGGCACCTCCTACATTTAAACAGGGGGGTCAGTGGCTGGGGGACTCCAAACATTCTAAGCAATTCAGAGAGATGAAATGGTTATAGTGGCTACAGTGACTTTAAAAGCAATTACAAATCCATTGCCAACTGGGATCTCACCATGTTTGAGGGTTTCTGTGATACGGAATCCAGATTCAATCTGGATTCTGTCATACGGGGATTGTCCACAAATGTTTAAACTCTACTATTTATAACTGTATTTGTTCTTACATAATGTGAAACCAGCAATAACATATTCAACAAATTCCTTAGCCCATTTGTTAATCAATGCCGAAAACTAGCACTTAATCATTGAAAAATAGAGACATAAATTATTGCTGTGTCTGCTTAATATTATCTAGACCCAAATTCCATCTATGAAATGGGATGTAAAACTGCACTCACAGCATTTTCACATCCTGTTACTTATGAACATGTTTTAGGTAATTTTTAATCTGGCAAATGAAATAGAACACAGAAACCCTAGGTAATACTAAATGGTTTCATTTTGTGGACTTAAAAGATCACTCTAAGCCAGGGGAGCCCAATAGATAGATCCCCAGATATTGTAGAACTACAACTCCCATGATGCTTTGCATGCCTTTAGAATGACAAAGCATCATGAAAGCTGTAGTTTTAAACCATCTGAGGATCTACCTGTTGGGCATCCCTACGCTAAGCAGTGTAGGCACAATGGCTACTAGAACTTATTATGGTGTTTATGGTGCTCTTAGGCTGTGGGTGTAGCCCCTCTGATTGGTCAAACTGTTCCCATGGGGATTGACAAAAAAAAGAGGTATTGGGTTGTAGTGGTTATTGTACTTATTGCTGCCCTTTAATTAGTGTAGTTGTTTGTTACACACAAAACAATATGTATTGAGAGTTGGGGCTATCAAATAAATGATCTTCTTTTATTTATTTCAACAGCATCATGGCGTCTGCTGTAAGGAGGTTGAAGGGTCTTGTGGCAGCAACTTTTACCCCAATGACAACAATGAGGTATTATTTAAAATCACTCTCTCCCAGTAGTTTGAATGTATGCTCTTTTTTTTTTTTTTTTAAACGTTTATAGCAATTTTATATACACATTGTATAGATTGGGGGGGAACTATTTAAAGTTGCTTCCACCTGTCAATTAATTCTTTGGCCTAAACTCTGTGCTGAAGAATTGAATAACAAGAAGAGCAGAAGAGACCTCCTTGATTAAACTCCTCAAAGGTGATCTATAAATTAGAATGCCATCTACAATAATGCAAGTTGAAAGTTATGTGAAATATTTCCAAAGCAAAGCACTGGCTTTATTATCTTAATAGAGTCACCATAATAAAGCTAATGAAAGCAGCGCAAGCTTGAGTGTGACACTGTGATTGTCCAGTTTATAGCAGGCAACCTGCAATCGAGCTGATTAGACCGTATTTTATGAACTGTTTATTTGTGTCTGTAATATGAAGAGTGTGCTTTGATGTGCAAACTCTCTCTCCAAGTGTAAAACAATGAACGTGTGGTCAAACCATTAAAGGAACACTCTAAGTACCCAAACCATGTCAGGTTAAAGGGACACGATAGTGTCAGGAATACACACATGTATTTCTGACACTATATTGCTGGAATGTAGCATTAAGTTCCTGCCCCCCCCTCACTCCAGAGATTAAGTAATTTTACTTGCTTTTTCTCCCACGCTGCCTAGGTCTCGCAGTGGCTGGTCCTGCCTACGTGGCTGAGATCATCATAGGAAAGCATTGGGATGCTATTGTGCGTGCTTGGCAAAACGATGTGCTGTGCCATTCAGCATTACCTCATAGATGCATTGAATCAATGCATCTCTATGGGTAATGTTCAGCACTTCCATGCATAAAGTTTTCTGAGAAAAGGCAGCATTTACATTGTTCCTAATGACACTTCTAGTAGCTGTCACTCAAACAGCAAGAGGGACTTCCTGGTCCAGTCCTGCAAAGACTTTCTACATCTTCATGCTCAGCATGAAGACGCCATACATTCCTCCTGTAGATGCATTGAGTCAATGCACTCTTATAAGGCGATATCTGATTGTCGCACATGTGCACAAGCCTGCCCCTCTTCCCAATGCTTCCCTGAGGGGAAGCATTCGATTGACTAAGATTATCAGTAATGATGATCTCGGGTTGGGGAAGGAGTGGTAGCCACGTGAGACTGGTGCAATGGAGAACTAAAGGTAAGCAATAAAGCTTTATTTTGCCTTATTGAGGTAAGCTCTGCATCTAAATCATTAGTATAACACTCTAACATTAGGAATACATGGTTACATTTAAATAATTACATCCTGCATTTTAGCATTGACTTTTTATTGGTATTCTTTATTTATTAACCGGCAGTGTGGTGTTACAATAACAAGTAGCTCAGCCGTATTGATTACAAAATACAAAGCGTCAAGTTGCTATAGCCTGTTTTTTGTTTGAATCTGTACATTTCAAGTGACGGTACGGTATTCTAATTGACGTTAGTTAGACATTGTCACTGTGTCCTGTTTACCCAGTTGGCATCAGGGACTTCTCCATCATCATCCAGATCACTCTGACAGTTCTCTCTACTTTTTAGCATTGGTTTAGTAAGACCCTGTAGTTTTTATTTTCTTTACCCATCTTTGAAAACATTCCTGACGCAATTTGCTTGTGAAATGGACAATGCAATGAGTTTTATCCTAAAAAAGCAAAGTTGGTTATGGTTCTCCAGGACCAGAGCTCTTCACATCGCTTGCTTTAAATTCTTGCAAACACAATTTCCTCTTAAAATAAGTAGAAAAAGATATTATTTTTGCAGTAAACAGAGGAATGCACTATATACCTATAGGGTGGCTTTATCCACTAAACTTCCATCTTAGTTCCCTATCAGTCATTGTTATAAGCTCTGTCTTTTGCACCTCTCTGCGTAGAGCAGGCCTGCACAGCATACAAACCGCGAGCCGCTTTCCTGTGTGTTTGTCAGTGTGTGTCTGTGTATCTGTATGTCTGTCAGTGTGTGCATCTGTATTTTTATATGTAATATTATACCTTTTACTTGAAAAATGTGGCCCCGACATAATGCCAAGTTTTGCAGGTCTGGTTTAGAGAAAGCATACAGAGCAAAGAAGAAACAGATACAATGTGTCTATTTCTCCTCTTCATTTGCACTTTGCCCTGAATTAGCTCAGTCTAAAATGGATTATGATGTAATTTTAATATAAATTTAAAAGAAAACTGGTTATCTCAGTTATAGATGATTTTTAGTGTATTATTTAATGTTGTAAATTCCAGAGAGGCGATAGATCCTCTTTAAAGTTTGTACAGATTAGTCAGTCTCTTAAATTATGATACTCCAAATCTATTTGTAGAAAAGTCCTAAATAATAATTTTATCTCACTACATGCTAACTTTTCATTGATTTACATCGCATTGTTGCTCACTGTATTTTTTTCCTTATTTTCATTTATTTTGCCATTTTCTCTGTAGTGACCTCAATCTTCCAGTCATTCAGCAATATGTTGACTATCTGATTGAGAAGCAGAATGTGAGGAATATATTTGGTAGGTATTTTGCCCCTACCTTGCACTGGACTCACTATGCAATCATTGAATGATAAGGGTCCACAGCATGACCTGTACAAATTGTGCTACTGACAAGTTTACTTTTTTTTTTTTTCTTGAACAGTAAATGGTACAACGGGAGAAGGAATGTCACTTAGTGTTCAGGAAAGGAAAATGCTGGCAGAAGAATGGGTGAAACATGCAAAGAATAAGTGAGTATAGAAAGAAAAATGATGTGTGTTCTCCTTATTTGAAGTGTTAAAGTTGGCCCCTACTGTTTACAGTCTACCATTTCCATCCAAAGTTGGACAGATTTGTGCTGTTGTAGATAATTTACTGCAAACCAATTAGTTTGAATGACTATCTGTTCCTGTCCAAATTAAAGATAATAAAGTTGCGTGCACGCAGAAGTAAATTCACACTGAGACACAAGAGTTCAGGTTAATGAAAGAACTTCGGAGAAGTTTAATGGCTTCTGATTAAAAAGCAGGCTCGCAGGCCCTTTTAAAGGCATTATTACATCATTGAAGAAAATCAAGATATAGACAAATAGACATTGTTAATTGGCTTAGGTGCTAAGATGTTAGTAAAATGCCCTCCCTATGGGGTGTACCATCTTAAGTCACTATCCTCGTCATGATCATCTCCTCCAGGTTTTAGCGCCATTTTGCTAACATGAGGAGCTCACTCGACGGGAGGGGCCTTTTGGCAGCTATCCATTTAGAGTGTAGCTGGCACGGTTAGTTTCTCAAGGTTACGTTTCAAGGCTTTTAGTAAATACACATTTTATCAAAGCTATTTCTTGCTGCCATGCAAATTCTATGTTCTATAGACAAAGCTTTCTTGTAAAACTATGGGGGCCTTTTAGAGGTATAGCAAGAGGATTTAAAGGGGCCTTACAGATTTATAGAGGCCTAATAATTCTACAACAGTCCCCCCTAAAATGTTATTTGCTAAAAGACAAACTTTATTTGTTAGTATCAGAAGATGTGTTAGCCCAAAGACACAGAAACCCCATGACCGCTGACTTAGTGTTAATGCAAAGTGCAAGTCTATCCCTCTCTTGACCCTAACAGGCTGCAGCACATCCGTCAGTACGGTTCAGGAACACTCTTCACTCCGCTGGTAACCCATAGTGGCTTATCCACTACTTCTCCGTACGGCAGTCTACCCATAAAGACGGACGCTGTCCCTGTACTGTCCCTTCCTAGACTTTCTGCACTTCATCAGTATAAGGGAGAGTTTGTAGCGGAATACAGGGTGAGGTGAGATCTTGATCATCGATTGTCAGATGAGTGAAGGTTGGTGTTGCTTGGTCTACAGTTTTCTGCAGGAATTTCCTTAGGCATGGGAGGACACAACAAATGAGAAGAGCGAGAATAAAAAAAAAATTAGTAAGGCAATACCAATCTGGACTAAAGCTCTCTGCCAACCAGTCATCCAACCAAACCATTTTTCCCAGGGATCAGTAACTCCAGAGTTTCTCTTTAACTCTTCTGAGAGTCTATTTAATTTAGCTATGGCCAGAGTGACTTTACCATTAGGACCTGTGTTTTCTGGAATGTAAGTGCAACAAGTCATAGTGTCGGGAAGTATTTTACAGACCCCCTTTTTCGGCTAAGATCATGTCTAAGGCCAGTCTGTTCTGGAAGGTCATTTGGGATGTGGCCTGTAATTGCTCGGCCAAGCCCTGGAGGGCATCCCTGGTGTAGTTCACGAAGCGCTGTTGGTTGTAATAGATATAATTAATCCAATTAAGGTTTTTGTTGGCAGTGACTATAGTGAACAGTGATTCAAAACCTACAGCTACTTCATCTCTAGCTTTAAATTCATTAGGCACCCCCCTAGGTACCCCAATGGCATCTATGTAAATGTGGGGGTCAAAACTGCCTTTTACTGGGGTTTCGCGCCTCACTCTGGCTGGTGTATGTGGAGGGTCATATGTGTCATGATGATTATCAGAAATAATATGAATGGGCATGATAACTTTGGCTAGGGTACACTCACCCCACCACTCAGTTTCCAGCCTAGATCTTAACTGTAGATCCCCACATAACCAGTAAATATCCCCCAATGACCTGGTATGGTGTTGCAACAGGCGTATAGGAACAGTTCTGTAAGTGGCGCAATAACCTTTAGAAAAATTACCCATGAATTTACCAATCCCGTCATACATGGCATAACAAGTGTAATTACCTCTATAGACTGTGATTCCATCTGGTGGCTTAACATTTTCAACTAAGAGAGGGTATTCTGCCGTCCATGCCATGCAGAGGGACCTATTAAAGTCATATTGGTAGGCAAAAAGGCTTAAGAAGCAATCTTCTATCTCTAAAGGGAGAATTAGGGGGACGGTGCCAAGGTGGGGTCGGGCACCTCCACGCTGAAAGGTAAGTTCTATCCTAAGTGACTCGGTCCAACTTAGGCGTTCTCTGGTCTCCGTTGTCGGCTGAATTCAGGGAAGAACGATGGAGCAAAATGAAACACGCACACAGTTTGCTTTTCCAAAGATCTTCAAGTGTATTATAAAAAGGATGGCATATTTATACAGTATTGAACATGAACTTTGGCATACATTGGTCAGAATATGCTTACAAAAGATAAACGTTGCTAAAAGCGGAAATAGCTGATTTTGCAAAAGACCACATTTCTTGTGGTCAAGCATGTCTTATTTTCATGATACTTTTCTCGGAAGCATCAGGTCAACGTTACTTTGCGGATGCGTCTGTTGTTTCAAAAGCAGAAGCGATAAATCAAAAATAACCTGTGGTTTGTCTAGTTTTTAGCTCTTGTGTAAATCTTAAGAATAAAATATCAGAAATTATAGATGAGATTTATTAACCCATTCCCTTCATTCCCCTCTTTGAGCAAGTCCTTGCTCATACCCCATTTGGGTTGTTTTAGCCAGGGTAACTGTTCATGGTATATTCAGAATTGCTAGCCAATTCTGCAGGACTTTCATTACTTCTTCGGCCACTATTCCCATGGCATATACCCTGGCTAATCATAGATATTCTGGGGTTCGGGAATATAACTATCATGCATATAGAATTGTAAGAATTCCGCATACACTGGTGGTGGAGGTAGTGGACGTGATGGGGGTGTGTTTTTGTAGATGCAGAATATCACTCTTACAAGTACATAAAAGAAGAGAGAAATAGAAGCCCCCATAACTAAGATCAGACCTATGGTTTTTACTGAATTAAGGATAGAAGAGAAATTAAACCAGTCACCCCAGTAATTATCTACCCCAGAGTTGAGGAGTATAATTTCATAACCACTAAGACGTTGTGCTGTCATGTGTTGGGTTGTCAGATGTTTGACTAGGTGTTGGACTTGATGTGATGTGTGTAGGATTGTAGTGTGGCCCAGAGTGTTAGTAGCAGCAGTTTCAACAGCCATGGCACATGCCGCCAATGCCCTGAGACAGGCCGGCATTCCTTGCACGGTGACAGGCATGACTTTAGAAAAAAATGCTATGGGGCGTAAACCACCTCCATGCTCTTGAGCACACAGAGCAGCCATAGTTTTACAATTGTCACATTTAATACTTGACTCCCCAGGGTGTGGTGGAGGGTAGCAAATGGACTGGTTATTTCCCATTCTAGGACCAAGGTTGTAGGACAGATATCTACTCACAAAATCTCTGTCCTAAACACTTATTCACAACCCACTTAAGCAAAAGGATGACAACTAGGGACCAGAGAAGGTAAGTTTCAAATACTTGTATATACTTTGTCTCTCACTCTAGTATATTCACTTATATACTAATAAATCACCTATATCTCTTTATAGGCAGGCACCTTAAAACACTACAGTCTAGTTCCCTTACTTAGACTGGTCTAGTTCCCTTACTAGACTGAAATCTGGACCTTTATGTAAACTGAGTCACAATACATGTATACATAAAATAACCTTTCCTAAATCTAGATGTAGACTTACAAAACCATAGGGATCATAGATTCAGGGCGTCAAAAGAGACACAAGGAATTACTACTCACCCAAAATGGTTTGGCTACATCCCACCGCTGCCACCAAGCTGAAAGGTAAGTTCTATCCTAAGTGACTCGGTCCAACTTAGGCGTTCTCTGGTCTCCGTTGTCGGCTGAATTCAGGGAAGAACGATGGAGCAAAATGAAACACGCACACAGTTTGCTTTTCCAAAGATCTTCAAGTGTATTATAAAAAGGATGGCATATTTATACAGTATTGATCATGAACTTTGTCATACATTGGTCAGAATATGCTTACAAAAGATAAACGTTGCTAAAAGCGGAAATAGCTGATTTTGCAAAAGACCACATTTCTTGTGGTCAAGCATGTCTTATTTTCATGATACTTTTCTCGGAAGCATCAGGTCAACGTTACTTTGCGGATGCGTCTGTTGTTTCAAAAGCAGAAGCGATAAATCAAAAATAACCTGTGGTTTGTCTAGTTTTTAGCTCTTGTGTAAATCTTAAGAATAAAATATCAGAAATTATAGATGAGATTTATTAACCCATTCCCTTCACACATACATAACATGCTGTTTTATTATGTTTGTTGGCATTATACCTCATCCATTCTAACCACAAATTAATGTCATTGAATCCAGTTTCAGCGGCCATGGTATCTTCAAAAGTGGGGTTAGCGATGGCCATCATATCTTTAAAGGACTGGATATGTGGTTTTAGCGGATTTGGGACCATATGATCAGCCCCTTGCCACTCTGGAGAGTGGTACATATCTCTGAGGTAGAAATTACCTAATTTGTTGTAGGAACCTTTCTTCCAATACATTCCCATTACATATCGGTCTGCATCCTCGGGGCCAGGATGTTCAATATTTAACATTAATTTCATAGGGGTACTTCCTCCAGGCTTTCTTAAAGTCATTCTTTGAAGGAGGGATCTACCCTGATTGTCTATCTTAGATAAAGCACTTTTGGGTTTATAACCCCAGGCAGGCCCAGTATTCCATCCCGCAGCCCCCCAGTAGTTACAGTCATAACCCCATTGTTCATCTACTACACAAACGTAAGGGTCTTTTGCTTGTGGTATATCTTTATAAATGGCTTGAATCTGTGACTTAGGGAATGGGCATTCTACAATATCACAGTAATCAAAAGTGAATGTAGCCACATGGGTACATGATGAATTATACCAGAAAGTGTACCCACTAGCATCTTTGGTGATGGCCACCTGCTGGGCTTTAAGGAGGCCAACTAAGGAGATTATGTACCAGAGGCACATGGTTGCATAGAGTTAGCTTCCTCTGGGGCAGGTGTCTTCTTGCAATGGGAAGCATGGATCCAGTTTGACAGAGGTAGGGGAGATCAGGAGAACTTGGAACGGTCCGTCAAATCTTGGTTCCAGGGTGTGTTTTCGCACAAATTTCTTGACCAGAACCCAGTCATCGGGGAGCAGACTGTGGTGGCCTGTGTCAGAATCAGGATCTGGCTTCAAAAGAGAAAACTTGGGCATGGATTTTGTTCAAAGCATTTGCGAGTTCAGTTACATAATCTACTAAAACATCAGTTTGAAGTTGTAGTTGTTGGGGAAAATAGCAACCTAGCCTAGGTGCAGTCCCAAATAGAATCTCATATGGGGACAGTGAGGTAGTATTTTTGTACAAGAGCATTCATTAGATCCTTTGATAAATGTGCAGGTCCGTGTGCCCATTGTACGACTGCTGGGTACAAATTCTTAGGGAGGCAGAATCTGAGATTGTTGTAATACACTCCATCTCTTAGAACTGCCCCTTTCTGTTTCCACTTCTGTATTTCTTCAGGGGCAACTGTAGCCTGTTGTTCCCGCAGGATTTTTAGGCCAGTTGGAAGAGTCTGCAGAGTAAATATGGGAGTTTCTTCATTTCCGGACACTCTTCTGTCCACTTCCTGTAGTTCTCTTGCAGCTTGTTTTGCAGCTTGGTCAGCCAGATGGTTGCTCCCTTGGTTTATTCGAATCCAACTTCCCATGTGCCTTTACCTTCAGAATGGCCACTTCTTCTGGGAGTAGGAGGGCATCCATCAGCTCCTTGATTGCAGAACTGTGCTTGATTGGTGTACCGGCGGTGGTAAGAAATCCTCTTGTTTTCCAAATTAATCCGAAGTCGTGAGCCACGCCCAGTGCATATCTTGAATCCGTGTAGATATTGGCGCGCTTTCCTTCAGAGATCTTGCATGCTGAAGTCAGGGCTTGCAATTCAGCTTCTTGTGCAGACATAGTTGATGGTAAAGATGATGATTTGACAATTTCATCTGTTGTGGTTACGGCATATCCTGTATGGTATCTTCCTTCTTCATCAGCATATCTTGAGCCGTCCACAAACAGGGTGAGATCGGGATCTACCAATGGGTCTTCATGCACAGTTGGTAGATGTGTTGTTTCCATTTTCATCTGTTCAAAACAGTCATGAGGTGTATCTGGGTCGTAGTCATTCACTATGGTTAAATCTTGGAACTCATTTTCCAGGAAATGACGCGGCCATGCTTTTAGGTGGTCAGTTGTTGGATATTTGACAACACCATTTTCCTGTAGCTGTGATTCGTCCATAGTGGCCCATGCTTTTGCCATAGGCCCAAGATCATTCCATGATATTGTTTTCAACTTGGTCACAGGGACATGTGGAATGGCAGTGTCCCAATGACGGTACAAATGCTTGAGTTCCGGAGGTAGATGAATCAAGACCATACTGTTGCCTTCAGAATCACAGTAGAAGTCTTGTGCAGTGAGTTTTACTTCGACCAGATGATAGAGTTCATCTTCATAGCAGGGTTCAGGAGTGATGTTTGGTTTGTACCACATGGTACAGAAGGCATATCCTGCTCCGTCATGAAGGAGTGCTTGTCCATCATGAAAGGATAGGTTGGGATGCATTTCCTTCTTGATGGTGCCAGTGAGAAGAAAAACATAAGTTTCGTCCATGATGAATCCGTAGTATACACCCCCCTCAGGGAGTGGCAGAAGAGTGGACGGATTGAGAACTTGACATCTTTGGAGGGTAATGTTGTCAGGCAACAAAAGATGACATTGAAGGCGAAGATGTCTAGCAGGAGTAACATGCTTAAGTTGGACCTGGTTGGCTATGGCAGAAATGTCATGAGGGGCCAAGACAACCAGGGGGTGGCCAAGGACAAGATCTCCAGTTCTTTCAATGAGCTCTCTGGCAGCAAAGACGGCCCGAAGGCAAGAGGGACGTCCTCTGGCCACAATATCCAGTTGGCAGGAGAAAAATCCAATAGGCCTTTGGCGGCCTCCAGGACCATGGGCCTGAGTGGAGTACTCCTGTTGCATGGCCTTGTCTTTCAGAAACAAACAATTTGAAGGGTTTGGTATAGTCTGGTAGGCCAAGAGCAGGAGCAGAAGCAATAGCACGTTTGAGAGAACAGAAGTTGTCAAGGGCTTCTGTGGACAAGCAAAATGGGTCTGACTTGAGAGCATCATAAAGAGGTTGCATAAGGAGCGAGGCTTCTGGGATCCATGCTCGGCAATAGGAAATGAGGCATAGGAAGGCGTGTAGTGACTTCGAGGTCCTTGGAGGTGGAATGTCCAGTACTGCTCTAACTCGGTCACGGGTAAGATGTCTGGTTCCCTGAGACAGACAATGGCCAAGGAAGATAACAGTAGGTTGGCAGAATTGCAGCTTGAGACGTGAAGCTTTACATCCTTGTTCTGCTAGGTAGCAAAGAAGATTAATTGAGCATTGTTCTGTTGTGGGTAGATCATCTCCACAAAGCAGCAAATCATCCACATATTGAAGCAGGACGACCTCAGGATGGTCAGATTGCCATGGATCAAGGATAGAGCACATGGCCTTTGCAAATTGACTTGGTGAATTTTGTGCCCCTTGGGGCATGACAGTCCATGTGTACTGTTGTTTTTCATGTGTGAAAGCAAACAGATATTGGCAAGTTGGATCCAGGGGAACACTGAAGAAGGCATTGGCCAGATCAATGACAGTGAAGTACTTGGCAGAGGGTGGAACGCCGGAAAGGAGAGTGTGTGGGTTGGGCACTATTGGAGTGTCCAAAACTGTGGCTTCATTTACCGCTCTGAGGTCTTGGACCAATCTGTACTTTTCTGGTTCGCCTTTTGGAGTCTTTTTCTTTACGGAAATAATGGAGTATTGCATGGTGATTCACATTTGACAAGAGCACCCTTCTCCAGGAGTGCTTGAATTTGAATTGTAATGGCTGCAGCTTGAGCTGGTTTCAAAGGATACTGTGATTTTCGTGGCAATTTTGCTCCTGGGATGAGCTTTACCACCACAGGTGGGACCTTTAGATGGCCTATGTCCTCTGGGCCTGTGGACGACAGTTTCTTGGGAACATCAGTCTTTAGTGAATCAGGGAAATTAGTCCTTAGGTCTTTTGCATCCCCATGAGGCTCTTCTAGATGTAGCATCAGGGGTAAGGAGCACAAAGCTGAGGTGTCTGAGACAGATAGAGGGGTGGATAGTTCCACTTGTCCATCTGGAGTAAAGGTGATAGATGCCTACAGGCGTGAAAGAACATCAGCTCCTAACAGGTTAATGGGGCATGTGGAAGATACCACAAAGCGAGCAAGCAAGTTGTGGCAGTTACCAACCCGCAGTGGGGTGGACAGGGGACTTTGCCTTGGAAGGCAGTCCACCCCAACACAGAAGACATCAATATTGGAAAGAAATGAGGTATCGGGCAGGTCTTGTTCTCTCAGAACACTTCGGGCTGCACCTGTGTCAACTAGGAAAGTGGTGGGCTGGCCCTCAATGGGTAAAATTACAGTAGCTAGAGGCCCCCCTTGTTCCCCTGAAGACACTGCCATAACAGGGGCATTAAGCATCAGTAGGTTCTATCATTTATATTAATTAGACTATAACAATTATACCACCCTGTAACTAAAATTAATAACCAGAAGTGGCTGGGTTAATAAAACATGTCACTAATCCTTCTAATGCTAGACCATCATTTAACGTAAAGGATGTTACTGTAAACATACGATCTGTAACTAGCAAGATTCGATTAAGCAAAGATACAATGTTTAAAATAACTTGCATTATTTGGCTATTTCCCTTGTTGCAAGATTAATCTGGATAATCAGCTGTTATGCTCTTATATTCGTGTCCAACAGATCTCATTTGTAGGTCACACCACAGTTGCAAATGACATTTAAGCAACCTTCTTTTTTTTTTTTTGTTATATCACGGACACATTTCTGATACAGGGAAACAAATGGCATGATTGTTTTAGTAATTATAATGTTTCTGTTCATAATATGTAGAGTGTAAGGAAAACAACATGTCTCTAAATAGGACGAGCATAATAGGGGTAGGCCTCATGATGGAGGCAGCCATGACAGGGGCGGGGAAGGAAATGACAGCAAGGGAGGAAGTGAGGTGACGTCCATGATAGGTGTGGGAAAGGAAGACAGGAGATGTGGGCATGGTAAGGGCGGAAGTGACGTCACTTTAGAAGCAACCGTGACTTTAGATAGGTCACAGGACTGGCAGGGTCAACCTCCTTCTGTACTAGGCGCCATCTTTAGGGTGGTGGCTGACGCACTTTCAACAATACACTATATTATAACTTATAAAATAAGTCAGAGAAGCAACATTCCGTTCTGCAAAATGAAATACTAAACTATGAACAGACCTGGCAGGTTAAATAAGACAGTTGAAAACATTATGCATTTAACAGCCCATATAGCTGTCTCTAGAAACATGTTCATTAAAATGATGCAAGATAAACTCACGGAATTCAACCAAATTCCCTTATCTTCCTCCAACCATTAATCACTTTCCTCTTCACATACTAGCTTAACTTCGCATATTCCCTCTATCCACATTGCATAGTTTTGCAACAAATCACGCTTGCCTTTACACTTAACACGTCCAAATATTCCTCTATTCTTGTATCAGATTCACTTACTTAACCTCCGTAAATCAACACTGAGCTACATCCCTGACTCCCTGTCTTATACACCAGTCTTGGAGAGAATACTCAGAAAGGTGGAATGCATTCTTGTGAGCGAGCCCCCCCACAATCTTCACTGCCTTATCACAAAACACAATATATATATATATATATATAAACGGCAAACGGCAACAATAATAATATTATTACACAATTATAACACCATAACCTTTGAATTAGAATATTTTCCAGCAAAAATCCCGTCTCTAACTCTTATCAGTAGCTCCCGGAAATGTAGGCAAGCGGGGAGGAGGGGGGGGGGGGGAGAATGTGAGACAGTGCAAAAAGGGAGAGAGACTGCAGGCATGAAGATTAACCATGTGAGTGCTGTAAAGTAACAAGACAGAAGGACAGAGACTTATACGTTTGGAAACCAGAAATCTTTGACGGGAGAAACGGACTGGAGGTGCAGGGAGCTGCAGAGAGAGGATGAGGGTGACGAGATCTGTAGGACTGATGGGGGGGGGAGAATAGGGATCCATCAGCATCCAGTAACACAATTATTATAATACACAAACAAACTTAAACCTTTGTGATCAATATCTTCCTCAACCTATCCCTTTTGCTGAATAGCTCTTGCTACTCGGTACCAGGCTTCTGCTGTACAAACCAAATCTTGGTCCGACAGCTTCCCTTTCTTCTCTGTCAGTAACTTACGCCAGCTCTCTGGCTACAATCTGCCGCACAGAGGTACGGTAATTCCACATACTTTAGCAATCTTCCTCACTTTCTTAACCATCTCTTCTCCTTCTCTGTCTTCCACTAGATCACATGCTAACCAACCCTTACTGGGTTTATCTAACTTCTGTCCCATCCTCCCTATACAAGGCGTCCCAGATATAGAGAGAGAAAGGAACAGAACGTCTACCGTGCTCGACTGCTACTTTAAGAGCAAGCTCTTTAAGTACGTCTTCCCAAAACGTAGACTAGTCACTGATTCCGCCTACCCGTGGTAGCCGCGGATTGGAGCGTGGCGAGAAGTGTGTGACCAATCACTTCTCTCAACAGAGAAAGAGAGATAGGAGGGGAAAGTGTAAGTAGTACAGTGAGTAAGATAAAAGTAAACACAGGAATCTGTGTGACAGACAATTAAGACAATAACATTTCAAATAAAATACAGTGCATGCATCACAGTTCAAATAAGTTCAACAGTTTTATCCCTTGCCTTTACTCGTGTGGCCAAAAGCCACCTCCCTCAACCTCGTAGTGTCCCTGTTGCGGACCCACCCGCAAGTCTCACTACCAGCAGCCACAGGAAACAGCAACAGCTTCCAACCCGAATCCTGTATAGCCTAAAGAATTGGAATCTTACCTGCCTCAGCGCTCGAGGCTGGAATTTTACCAAGAAGTGTCCGATGAGGCTTGCTAAGCGGTCAAAGCGACACTATGGGGAACCCCCAGGAAGCAGTGAGTCTACACCCCTCCACAGATTCCCCCTACTCTTTTTCCTTACAGCCACAGCTACGTGGCTCCTAAAAGAGTTAAACAGGCAATAGAGGACCCCCAGGAAAACTTCCTCAGGTCCACCCCCCTTTTTCCTTACTACCACAGCCACGTGGTACCTAAAAGGAGTTAAACAGGCACTTACACTCCCCGGGTAGACTAAGTTAAACACAAACCAATACAAAAACCACACCCAGGCAACAGATAGTCAACATGCAGGTAAACTAGGTATCATTAACAATACAAAGACTCTGGGCAAGTTATTACCTGACTTTGATGTCCTCTCGGTAGCAGTCACAGACACTGGGACAGGTCAATCACAGGGGCAGGAACATACCGGCTAGGTGCTGCAGCAATCTCTACCGTGTATTCAGAGGTGATCAGGCTCTTTTCCTTCCCCCAGGATTCAGCCCCCCCAGCGTCTTCTTGGACAGCTGCCCAGGCAGGACATAGCCCAGAGCCCCACGTTGGGCGCCAGCTGTTGTAGATAATTTACTGCAAACCAATTAGTTTGAATGACTATCTGTTCCTGTCCAAATTAAAGATAATAAAGTTGCGTGCACGCAGAAGTAAATTCACACTGAGACACAAGAGTTCAGGTTAATGAAAGAACTTCGGAGAAGTTTAATGGCTTCTGATTAAAAAGCAGGCTCGCAGGCCCTTTTAAAGGCATTATTACATCATTGAAGAAAATCAAGATATAGACAAATAGACATTGTTAATTGGCTTAGGTGCTAAGATGTTAGTAAAATGCCCTCCCTATGGGGTGTACCATCTTAAGTCACTATCCTCGTCATGGTCATCTCCTCCAGGTTTTAGCGCCATTTTGCTAACATGAGGAGCTCACTCGACGGGAGGGGCCTTTTGGCAGCTATCCATTTAGAGTGTAGCTGGCACGGTTAGTTTCTCTAGGTTAGGTTTCAAGGCTTTTAGTAAATACACATTTTATCAAAGCTATTTCTTGCTGCCATGCAAATTCTATGTTCTATAGACAAAGCTTTGGGGGCCTCTTAGAGGTATAGCAAGAGGATTTAAAGGGGCCTTACAGATTTATAGAGGCCTAATAATTCTACAACAGTACAAATAATGCGGAAGAGAAACTTCTGCATTTTCTCAGTGGCAGCAGAGGGGCTTGGATTTTGGTGCTGATTTAGTCCCATACATCACCTTAATCACTATTACAAGCTGTAATGGTTCTGGCACTCCAAATTGCCCTTTAGTCTTGTATGGTACATATATTTGGTTCACATCCCATCTAGCCTGGATGCTGAATATTTATTTATTGGCTTTGAGACTGAATGTAGTGGAGTATAATGCAGCTTTATTGAACACACACAGCTTTTTATACACAGAAATGTGGATTCACACACCAGGGGGTCTTACCTGCGATGCAATGGCTTTTACCATAGCGCTTGCTGTTAGGGTTATTGATTGCCAAATCCCCAGCTAACCAGATAGCCTCCATGCTGTGCCTCCCAAACATATAGCCCAGAATATACCAAATGTACCCAAAAAAAACCTTTTGGACAGCATCCCCACACATTACATATCCCTTTAGCTCTCCTCCAGGCGTCTATACTGTCCAAAAAGCACCCTGATCAAAGAATCTGTGCCCAAGTTATAGCATATTTAAGTTTGACCAGATGGTGGCTATTATTATCCAACTTAGAGTTCCAGGCGAGCGGCTGTTTTTCCTGGTCTTGCAAAAAGGTGTTCCTGGGGCTCCGGGGAGGCTGTTATGTTACGTCATGGTATGTCTTTGGATAGCTCTTGATCAAGTGCCCATGTTTGCCAAATAGCTACCTGAACGGTGGTCGGGAGACCGAGAAATACCCAGTTAAAAATTTACAAGATCATAACACAGTCTAAATCTGGCAAACCGGTCCATAGCGTTTCAGGGTATCTCCCGGTCAGGCACTCAATGTGCAGGACAGGTCCAGGCAATGCCCAGAGGTTCCCAATTCCAGCTAGGATGCAGAGTAGGCATCCCAGGGGGCTGCATGCCCCTTCCCCTAATGAAAAGAGTTTTTTTTGTGGATTTAGTCCTTGGGCAAGGGGCTGGCCTTCACTCTTCTCCAAAAGGTCGTGGCCCAGAAGCTTCTGTCACATACAGTAAATGTGAAATAATATACTTTATTACACCTTGTTTGTGATATGTGTATGTATTTTGTTTACTGCCACACTAAATGGCAATGATGCCTCTTTAAGAGACCTGTGGGGAACAAGTGCTTCATCCTGAACTAAAAGATTATATAGATTAATTTAAATACATATCACAACTTTCTAATGCTCTATATATTAATGTCTTCTATAGAATGGATAGTGTGATGGTGCATGTGGGATGTCTCAGCCTGGAGGATTCAAAAGATCTGGTGAGTGTTTAATATAAATATATATATATATTGTTAAGTAGGAATCAAGACCTAAACGTAATGTAGTCTTACTCTGCCTAGAAGAACGTTTAATTGAAGGTTCTCCAGTAATGCTGCATGCTGTCTACAAGATGAAATGTAACATTAATGATCTTTCTGCTGTGGAATATACTGTACACAGAAGAGGCATCTTGCCCTACTGTTAGTCTTGGCAAGCAAGTTTGCATACCACATTCAGGAAATGTATATCCTGTTTCTACCTTAACCATAACATGCATAGAACCTCGTTGGTGACCAGAAATCAAACCATTTAAATAACCCAGTTTTTCAGAAACATTATACTTTAATCTGCTCCCACACAAGCCCTAAGCGCCCTCTCTGAGGGGATCCCACTAGGTCACTGGGTGAAAGGGGGGGCGACACAAGTCCACTCCCTATTTGGTCCACAGGGGTTGAATGAATTCCCGGATCTACTCAATGAATTTTCACTCCCTGCCAGGGTAATGTTCACCTTCCTACGAATAAAACACATAATACAGCAACAGCATTTACAACAGGTGTATATAATCCTCTCCTGACAACTTTTGGCCTGTGCTGCACAGGGCAACGGAACAAATACAAACTTTTGTCCACATGCTATACTGCTATTAGCGATGCAGACGCACTGGTTAAACCTAAGTACATGATGCAATAGGAGAGCGACATTGGGACAAGCTTCCCTCTTCCCCTCTGGTTGCAAATGACCAAATCATAAAAGCTTCCTCCAGCAGCTTCTTCCATTGGAAAGCGTTTTGTAAAATATTAAAGATATGGTATCTGGTTCCTTCCAGAAGAGCCCAAATATACGCCACTGCCTCTCAGCTGTGCTGGAGATCCAATCTGGTCACAGGAACCATTAGACACATCTTTTGGCACTGTCCCATCCTGACAAGCCTGTGGAAACTGGTTGAGAAAGCCATCTTGGACTTGACTTGTGTTAAAATTCCCTTCCGCCCAGAAAGTTCTTTGTTACATATAGCACCAGAAATTCATATATCTCCTCACAAAGGTAAAACCTCTTACTGGCTGCAAAGATTAGTACTGCGGGCCATTGGAAAGACCCCAAACTCCCATCCCTACAGGAGATTCTGCAATGGGTAAAGGGCACATGCTTAAATGAAGAAATGGCATCTAGGTTAAAGGAAAAAACTGAAACCTTTGCCAAAAACTGGATCAGCTGGGTGTTTCGGACACATAACACTTTGTAAACTGTAGCGATATGAACAGTAAGTCTGGGGTATTTCCTCCTTAGTTCCCTGCCCCCACAACTTTCTTCTCCAGCATTACAAAACTAATCTGGTTCACTAGAGGATAAAAGTCCCTGACAAAGCACACCAGATCTTACCTAAAGGAGGACCACTGACCAAAAGGTCGGGTCCACCAAACCATAACCTAAAATGACACAGGCAGTTTCCCATGCAGAACAACAAGCGGTATTTCTCTATCTCCCTATTACCATATTCACAGAAACACTAGGTGTAAGCAGCTAGCGAAAGTATGTTTAGAGCTTTATATTTATTCAATACCGCATTCGAAGAAGTAGTATATAACTATGTATGCTTAACGAACCTATCTTTTCTTCTGTACGAATCAATCATGCATTGTTGTTTTTGTATTCTAATTGTCTGTCACCGCAAGCTAAAATTCTCATGTACACTATGAAAAGCACTTATGGAATATATTGTGTGTTTATGCGTGTACAACGATCATATCTTTATTTTTGTAAAAGCAGTCATGCACTCCATGTTTATTTATTGTTTATGTACTCTTCACCTATGACAAACCTCAATAAAAAAGATTTATTGGGGAAAAAAATAATTATATTTTAATCTTTTAATTTAATATTTAATTTACGGGAATCCTGGGATATCACTTTATTTTTAAATATTATTGTGCAAGATTTAAAAGCATTTCTTGATAATTATTCTTATAATTTTGAAGATCATTATCTATCGTGAAAGGCTTTTCTTTTGTTCATTAAAGGAATATTATAGTCACCAGAACAACTACAGCTTACTGTATTTGTTCTGGCAAGTATAATCATTACCTTTGGGCTTTTTGTAGAGAAAAGGCAGTGTTTATATTACAGCTTAGGGATACCTCCACTGGCCACTCCTCCGATGGCTACTAGAAGTGCTTCCTGGGGCAGTTCTGCACAGTGTGCAGCACTGCCATTCAGTGTCTCCACCCTCTGCATGGAAACACTGAACTTTCCTCATAGGGATGCATTGGTTCAATGCATCTCTATGAGGAGCTGCTGATTGGCCAGGGCTGTGTTTGACTTGTGCTGGCTCTGCCCCTGATCTGCCTCCTTGACCGTCTCAGCCAATCCAGTGCTTTCTTATTTGAAAGCATTGTGATTAGCTGAAAGAATCACTTCTAATGATGTCAGTCAAGCAGGCAGATCGGAGGCAGAACCAGCAGCCGTAGACTTGAATAAAATAATTTTTTTGCCATATTTAGGGGGGAAAGTGCGGCTCAAATGGGCTAGATGGTGGTTTTAAAACAGTAGGGTCAGTAATACATGTTTGTGTTCCTTTAACTCAGTTGTGCATGACCTCTTTCTCTTCAGCTTTTTTTTCCCATTTGTGAGTCATTTTGTGTTGTGTGTTCATGTTAGTGTTTCCAAAATGCAAATATTGTGTTTCCAAAATGTAAATGTAACGTTTCTGACACTCCTTGCAGGCTGCACATGCTGCCTCCTGTGGAGCAGATGCAATAAGTGCAGTGAGCCCTTCATTCATCAAGCCTTCCAGCCAAGGTAAACCTGCAGGTTGACCCCTTCCACATCAGGTTGATTTCTGTCATCCCAGTCTATGAGGACAGATCTTAACTCACGATTCCCTGTCTAGCAGTAGATTATGGGGTACTTGGTTTACACCCAAATAGCTGTTTTATGAGAGCACAGCGATCATTGTATCTATAATGATGCTCAGCATTTTTTAGTGTGAATTCCTCAATCACTGGAATCTGTGAATAAAACATATGAACCCAGTAAATAAGTGCTAGAAGGTATACAGAATACCCTGTGACTTAGCCTTTTGTGACCCATACACACAGGGTCGTCTTTAATATTTATGGCCCCCTGGACCTTGTGCCCCCCCCCCCCCTCACCTACGCTCCCTGGCATACAATTATGCCCTCCACCCCAACACAGTGGCGGACCTATAGTACATAGCCAGTGTGGACGGTAACAAGAGGGTACTGGTGGGCTTATAATACTGTTCTGAGGCTTAAGTGGTGGGCTAGACGAATCCACAGGTATTGTAAATAGAATGTAAACAGATTTCCTAATTGTGTAAAGAACCCTCACCCCACACACACACACACACATTGCAAGATCATAGCCTTCAATCTAATATAAATCATTTTATTCCCATTTTTATTCAATTAGATGCTTTAGTCATGTATCTGAAAGAGGTGGCGGCCGCTGCTCCCAGTCTCCCATTTTATTATTATCACATTCCCAGTCTCACTGGGGTAAGATGTAAGTAAACTGTAACCTTGCTTGTGAGATACTCAGCTGTTGTGTGTACAGGAGGCAGACTCCTACTAATAATCTGTTTTCTCATATAGATCAGGTATTTGACCTGATGGGTAAAATGCAGAAAGAAATCCCATCCTTCCGTGGGGTGAAGTTTAGTGATGTAAACCTCATGGACTTTAGCCTGTGCATCCATAACTACAAAGAATTTGATCTTCTTTATGGCGTGGATGAGGTAAGTCTAGTAAAAATTACTCCTTTGTTATTTGTTCCATATTGTCCAAATCAGTTAACTTGTAGAAGACAACCGTATGATATATACAGATATATATTAAAGCTGTACTAAAAGAGGATTGTCAAATAAAATGGTCTCAAAGTCCATTAATAGAGAGCACGTGTTCAAGTAAACTGCCCAACAATTCTTTAAAACGCTTGACCTGGATACATTTTGAGTGACTTTCCCAATAATCCAAAGGTTCAACATCCCTTAAATCATGGAAAATATTCCACCTCACTCTGCTCAAATGGAGATTGGGGGTGGTTATGTGGCTAGGAAGCGGTGATGGAATGTTTGGAGGCAAAAAAACTAGACCAGAAGATTGGCTTAATTTTGCCTTTTCTTAGTACATGTTCTTTTGAGTTACTTGATTTGCTAAACATTCTAATGTTCCAGATGTTTGAATATGGTTTTCAATGAGGTGACCAATATTTAGGAGTATGTGTTTGACAAATTGTTTTTTTGTTTGTTTTTTAATTTTTAGCAACTTCTCGGAGCCTTGGCATGCGGCGCACATGGTGCTGTTGGAAGGTAAGCGCTATATTCATTAGGTGGACAATTTAACAAATAAATTGCTAAACCCTAAATCTATTCAGTTTTAAACTACTGAATTGGAAACGATGTTTAACTTTGTTTTTCCAGGTGGGCTATTTTGGATAAAATTTGCAAATTTTCATATCTCACTGTCCCCAGTTGAGTAAATTGTAAATGTTGTTATTTTTGTTACTGGCATTTATTAAACTGCCAACATATTCCACAGTGCTCTACAATTGAACAAAATTACAATATATGCAGACCAATACAAAAGGCAATGGAGGGTACTGTTTGTGAGTGGAGATCAAACCATTGTAGCTCTTCTATACAAAGTATTTGGCGAGATAATTTTAATTTTATTTATTGTATTTATTTTATTCTCCCGTAGTACCTACAACTATTTGGGTAAAACAACATATAAGATGATGGCTGCTTTTGAGAAAGGCGACTTGCTCAAAGCCCAGGAGCTTCAGGTATTGTTTAATTCAGGGCCGGTGCAAGGATTTTTGGGTACAAAGGCGAAGATGATTTTGCCCCCCCTCAAAAAAAAGCATCTTCACCTGTGTGCCTCTTAACCCACCTCTTGTTTCTTATCCCCTTTTTTTAAATGGCTTACCCCCTTTAGTGTATCTTAGCCCCTATTTTTCCCCATTGTGTATGTCTTATACTTTCCTTGTGTATCTCTTACAACCCCCCTTTGTGTGTCTTACTCCCCCCCAACCCCTTTGTGTGTCTCCTTCTCTCCCAGCCCCTTTGAGTCTTTTACTCTTTCAAGCTTCTTTATGTGTTTCTTTTTTGTCCCCGGCCAGTCTAGTTGCCCCCAGCTCCTCTGTGTCTTTTTCCTTTTCTCCAGCCCCTCCATGTCGGTTTCACCCCAGCCCCTTTGTATTTCCACCCCCAGACCCTCTATGCATCTTTCTTACCCCCAGGCCCATCTTTGTGATTTTCTCCCCCTCATGTCCCTCTGTGAGTCTTACTCCCCACTCAGGCCCCCTTTTTTGTCTTTCCCCTCCACTCAGGCCCCCGCTGTGTGCCAAGGCTGCAGTTTGACCAACATCGCTCCATTTAACTTTTTGCTTTGCTTAAATTATCTTCTTTAATTTAATGAACTTGTTTTTTGGTTTTTTTTCACAGCACACCATTCAGAAGTTCATGGTGTATGTGTTTGACATGGGTATGTATGCTACATTATTACTAGTGCATCTGCAGGTAACATAGCAGAATTAAAGGGAATATAATGGGCAGTACATAGTTTGAGTCTCTAGATTCTTACACCCTAAACTCCATTTATATATTTTCATCTCATGGCCTTTTCTTTTTCTATTTGTCCAGGTTGGGGCCTGCCAGAATTTAAACAGATAATGTCTTTGAACTCCGGGATTGACATGGGCCCAGCCCGCCTTCCCTTACTCTCTTCTCTTCAACCAGAACATCACGAGAGTGTCAAAAGTAAACTGAAACAATTGAATCCTCTATGAAATGTTTACCTTATTAAAACCACAAAAGCTTTTTACTGAAATCTGGCAGTCGCACTATGCCAGAACTTTCCTAATGTGAACCTTGGCACCATATTGGTCTTCGTAAAATAGAACATTTTCATACAAACCACTTTTCTCTGTCTCTGAAAAACTATTTCCAATATCCAGATTCAATCAGTTTTTTTTTTTTGTCACTTGTGTTATTGGTAATACTGCTAATGTGACCAACATTTCCACTAAAATGTTCTCTCTAGAATACATTTTCACAATTCTGTTACTGTGCATATAGCAGCAAAAGAGCAAACTTTGGAAGCAATAATGAAAAATGTCTTTCTTTCCCTATTAAAGGGACACTATAGTCACCCAGACCACTTCAGTTCAATGAAGTGGTCTGGGTGCCAGGTCCCCCAGGTTTTAACCCTTCAGATGTAAACATAGAAGTTTCAGAGAAACTGCTATGTTTACATAGCAGGGTTAATCCAACCTCTAGTGGCTGTCTTCCTGACAGCCGCTAGAGGTGCTTCCGCGATGCTGGATGCGAAAATCGCATTCAGCGTCCAGAACGTTCATAGGAAAGCATTGAGAAATGCTTTCCTGTGGACTGTTTGAATGCGCGCTCGGCTCTTGCAGCGCATACGCATTCGGCTCCACTCGGGAGCTGACGTCGGCGGGGGAGGAGAGGTCACCAGCGCCGAGGGAGCCCGGGACTGGATTAAAGTGAGTAACTAAAGGGGTTTTAACCATTTCAGCCCAGCCTGAGGGGGACCCTGAGTGTGGAACCTAAGGGTTATTTAGTGTCAGGAAAACAAGTTTGTTTTCCTGACCCTATAGTGATCCTTTAACCCCTTGAAATATTCTGTCATGATTCCCTTTTATTCCAGAAGTTGTGTCCTTAAGGGGTTAAGCAATCCTCTACTTTCTCTCTATAGCAGATATTAATCCAGGATTCAGGTTATAGTGTCCTAAAAATAAGTGGTTTGTTTACAATTTTTTAACTGGGTGTGTTCTATAAATGTATCGGTTTATACATTTAATTAAAAAAAAAATTATATTTAAAGGGACATTTCAGGCACCATAACTACTTCAGCTGGTTGAAATGGTTATGGTGCCTGGAGTCCTTGGGTGCTTCGGCCCACATAACTGCTAATTGTTTACTCACCGTTAGGCTAAAAATGTCACCTGAGCACTTTCAGCCTAACTCTGCCCCAATGTCTGCTATGACTTGGTGTATCACAAGGCCAGGCTGCTGGGGACCAAGTATCTCTGAGTAAATGGGACCTGGCACCAAAGCATCCCAAGCACCATAACTACATTAATCTGTTTAAGTGGTTTTGGTGCCAACAGTGTTCCTTTAAGTTTTCATTAACACCTGTAAAGGCAAATAAACTATTACAGAGTTATTTACTAACGGGAGAATTTAAAGTGAATGTCAATTTTTTTTTATTTTTTTTTTTGAGGTCATAACAGCTGTACTGGAAGCATAGCTGATTTGGGGATTATTATTTTTTCCCCGAATTCAGCTATTTTTACCTTGAACTTGAAATTCACTTTGATTTCCTGACTTTTCTTATTTTAGGGTTAATATAGGTACTACTTGGGTACTACTCTGATAATTTTTGGAGCCCAAATACTTGTTTATAGGGTTCTATATCTTGGTTTTATAATTACATGATATCTCACGTGTAGCCAAACGCAGTACCAACGGGGAACAGAACTATACAAATACACTATAGCTTGTGAGTAATAAGCACTGAAATATCTATGCTACACTACCAGCAATATTTAATACACACAGGGATATTTAATAAAGTGAGAATTGTCAATTTTCAAATTTTAGACCAAAATAGTCAAACCGGAAGCATAGCTCACATGGAGAGGTTTTCCAGATCAGCTTTTCTAGCTTTTAAATTAATTTGGAATTTACGACAGTTCTCATGTTAGAAAGTAACCTTTTTTCTATTAAAGTGTATAACTGGATTTGAGGTTGAAATAACGCTTCTAACATCCCAATCAAATCTAATCTAACATGCCCATCAAATTGTTGTAAATGGAGTATATTGTCATACTGATGCTATAAATGAACACTGCTCACCGGTTAAATTTAAAATTATTTACTAAACACCAAATTTGTGTGAGTTTAAAACATTGGCTAAAGTTGTGACTAAAGCGGAGTTGTAGAATTATTCCAAATCAGCAATTTTTGCCATTTGACTTAATTCACTTAAATGTGAATTTAATGAATAACCCAAATGGGGGCTATTTGCCAAACCAGTGGGAGTGTAGAATTGCCACGTGGACTGCAAATTTAAGGCTAAAATTGCAGAATTGGAAACCTTTTTCATATGATTTATAATTAATCCAGTTATCCATTATGGCCAAGAAGTCTCAATTTAATTTGTGCGAGTTCTCTGCATCTCCCAGTTGGTGAATGATCCCAAAAGTCTTTAAGCAGACCAAAAAGAGAATACTGCCTGTGTACCATTGTGACTCATTCATTCAAAGAACAGAAACTGAGGGGACCAAATAATGCCTCTGAAAAGATTCAATTCCTTAAAAATCAGCCCTCATTGTGAATTTTTAAAGTGAATATTAACTGTGAAAAAGTACAACAAAACCACTCAATGTGCTTTTTGACGTTTAATTGTAACGTATTGACAGTCAATTAAGTGATTAAAGGCATAAACGGAGTAAGGGGTTTTGCTGCACTTTTTTCTCTGTTATTGCGTTCTTTATGGATTCACATTATTGGCTTAATTTTAAGAATTTATAGATCAACTCTTTCCAGAAAGCTCACTTTTTTTTTATTTTTTTTTTACCTACTGTAATTTGAATTTGGCATGTCCAGTTTCAGGAAGAGTGCCCTAATGTATGCTGTAAAGTCGGAGAAGTTATATTTTATACATAAAAGTCCTTAAAGCCTGTAATTATTTTGTGCTAATTTGCAATCAAGTCCACTTTAAAAGGGACTCTAACATTTAGAAATGGACTAGCCGTATTACATCCGCTTTTGCCTACGGGAAAAACTTTAAGATAAGGGAAATATTAACGAATGTGCAATGTATTAACTTGAAATCATAGAATGTCATAAACATTGTGTTTGTGTGTCTTTGTGGGTTTTTTATTTTTTTTATTCAAATCTAATAAATGCACTAACAAGAATTTAATATTTGGAATTATGACTGGTATAAGTAAATTGCTGGATGTTATTAATTTGTAATGTATTTAATTGTAATATCTTACACATGCTGTTTCAGTACTACTTTTTATGGGAACTGATCTATTAAACTTAACCTTTTTCATTATTCTCGAGTTGATGTGATGTGTGTTTGCTTTTATTTGATGGAAACTACATTGAGAAAATAAAGTGTCATGAGATTTTATAGTAGAGATTTAATAAGAAGTAAGCAGTTGGATATCTCCTCTAAATCAATGTTTTGTAAATCTTCCTATATAATTCCGACTGCACCATACTTTGCCAGTATCTCAAAGTATGAAATCTGAATAGAAGTGGTACTGGGCACAGATGGAATGTTTGAATGATACAAGAGCCAGGAAGGGGCACTGAAGCTTGGAATGCAACATTAAATTCATATTGCTTCGTCTTGGTTCTTGGGGTACCTAAACGACAATTATGGATATTAATTCTTAAGGCAAGACAACCTACCATACTTAATATGCATGGAGAAGATATGAAAAAAAAACTAGAAACCCACAAGACGTGCATCTTATTGTAGCGTCCATTTAGAATTGCAAACGAGACAATAATACAAAGAAAGTATTCTTGAGCAGTACCAATACAAGCACTTGTGTTGAAATCACTGCAAGCAATGGTGGCTGTTGTGTGCATGTCAGTATTTTTATGCTGCGGTATAGCATGTGATTTGGCATGCTCAAGCTGTACTCTCTACACATCCCATGTCCCTCACTCCATCTTACAGGGCTTCGAGCCAGTGGGTCTTCTACATGTTTCTCTCTATAAGCTGCTGTGGGCCAATTGAGTGTGGCTGCCCATACTTTCTCATGGTCAGCTCGGCATTGCAAGCATGTGTAGATGCCAGGCTGATGTTTCCCTTTATGGGAAGTTAGGATATCACTTGGCTACGTTGTTACTATTTGCCGAAGTGTCTCTGAAAATCTATAGGTATTCACTAAATTAAGAATTGAAAAGGGAAATGCAGTTCTTAGGCTTAATAAAAATTGTAGAATTACCAGGATCGCCATGATATTGCAACGGTGCCCTGGAGTTCCCCCTGGCAAGGCTGGGGGCTCGATTACTAATTATAGCAATATACTACATGACCTGTTTCAAGCAGATGTATTTTAAGGAGAGAGGGGTGGCAGAGCTGTAGCAAGGTCATGAGGTACCCGAGGGCAAGACCTTTATTTGTGCCTGGCCCCCCTAACCATACTTTCCTTTAATGCCCCCAACAAATTGGTGGTCATATAGTCATCCACACGGTTACATACACAAACACAAAGTTGCATTTTACACACACAAACACACATACACAGTAAGGCCCGGACTTGGAATAAAAGCAGACCTGGAAATTATTTTTATTTTATTTTTTTTTATACCAGCCCTATCAAGCCTTCTGCATATATTTCACTTCCCACACTCTTAATAGAGCACAAATAGGGAAACAAATATTTTATTTTTAAAGTGTGCTTGTTGAATTGTTTACACCGTGTGTGTGTGTGTGTGTGTTACTGCATGTTTGTGCGTGCCTGTCTGTGTAAGCCGGAGTATGACTGTGCATTTCTCTGTGTGTGTGCGCGTGTGTATACATATTTGTGCCCCTTTATGTATGCCTGTATGTGCCAGCTTGCTTCTCTGTTTTAGAATTTTATATTGATAATGCACACAAAATCACACTCACCCAGTCCCACACAATCACACTCAGCCAAGCCCTCCACAAAACATCACACTCCAGTCTATTAACTTTCTTTAATTCTCTAACCAGGACCCATACCCCCAACTTTTCAAATGGATAAAGCAGGACACTTTAGGTTTATATGTGTGACTAGGGATGTGGTCATGGGTGGGCTACAATTCTGAGAAATTACTTAGATGACTTATTTATGCAACTAAATTGTACTTCAGCTCACGAGCAATGTATCTTATTTACACAGGCTGATTTATAACACATTTATTGCAGTATAAAGACACATTATTAGGAGTATTATGGATGTGGGACTCTGTTCTGCACTCAGGCACATTAACATGATGATGATGGGAAAGGCGGGATTTGGGACCTACATAAGGATCACTAATAGTTACTAATTCCTAGAGTGGACTAGTTTCACCGCCCATTTGCTTTTATTAAAAAAAAAAAAAAAAGTACGTGCCCGGCTCAAACATGGCGCGCCAGGCGTTTTACCCTAAAGCTTAGCTCCTCCCCCTTTAAATGATTGGCTGGTGTGAGTTGGCGCATGCGCACTCGCGGCCGTTTGGAGGCATTCATGCTGTATTGATTCGTCCATTTTGTTGGTGCAGCGTTAGCTGACTGTCCTGATCTGGCTGCACAACTAGTAGCAATACGGTAAGTGAGCTCCGGTTAGTACCGTGCGGTAACCTGTGTCCAGCGAGGGGTCAGTGGGAAGCTCAGCCTGTATGATAAATAGCAGTGTGGAGGCTCAGTATGCTCAGGCCCTGCTATGGCTGAGGGTGCTGAGTGTATCTATCAGCCATTGCTATTTGCAAGCATGGGAGTATAGGTATGATAAGCACTGAGTGGGGACCTTTAGCTGTCCAGGTATAGTCCCCTTGCCTACTGGCTGGCAAAGTATATCATCTAGGTTCTAGTGCAGGCATAGGCAACCTTTGGCACTCCAGATGTTTTGGACTACACCTCCCATGATGCTTTGCCAGCATTATGGCTGTTAGAGCATTATGGGGGATGTAGTCCACAACATCTGGAGTGCCCATGGTTGCCTATCCCTGTTAGGGAATATTAAAAAAAATCTGGATTTCCCCCTTTTAAACAACGTTGCTCCATATGGAATTGTGTTATAACCAGTATTCCTTTGCAAATCTCCTGCAAGGCACAGTACTAACTTACCAACCCTCCCTCAAGGGTTAAGCTAATGCGTAATACTATTGACTTATAAGAGTTTAACCCCTTAAGGACATAATTCCCTTTTATTCCAGAAGTTGTGTCCTTAAGGGGTTAATAATTGCTGCCTATTTACATTTTCATTTTCACAATGTAAGCTGGCTCTAAAAATATGGAATTTGGGCTAGAACATAGTTTAATCTTTGTAGAACTAAAAGATTGTTTTAGGTTTTTTTTTTTTATTATTATAATTCAAATATTGTATTGGAGTAGTATCAAGCCTGCTAGCAGTTACACAACTCTGTTACAGAAGAATGAAAATAGAGATCTTGCAGTATCTTATTTTGGTGTTAGTTTGCTAAGACAGCCCCAATCTTCTAATTGCTATTTGCTGTTAATCACATAGAAAAATGAATACCCCTATTTAAATCTTACCCTGCCATAATTCTGTATGACCACTAACCTGGGAAAAGATTTATTGAATTATTCTCAAACAGGCTAGCTAGAGTTACTGTCCTTCTGTAAATGTCAAACTCACTGATAACTTATACAAAGCGTACACAAATGTCAGAATTATTTAGAATTTCAATTCACAGTGTGTATGGCTCACTGGCAATTGGAACATTGCCATTTTGAGAGGTATGTCCGTAAGTTTCAAGAAGTAAACAAAGGATGTACGGTCTTATTTGGTGGCGTGCCTTTACAATGTGCACATTATTGAGGATTGCTGAATTGAATTTAAGTGTAGAATAGCGGATTGAAACTAAAGTAACATTGTAATCGTAAATGTGATACATCTGGTGACAAATATCTAATGGGGAAAATCAATTCGCACCTGGCAAACGTGTGTATTATGTTGTATTGTCTTCAGAGGTACTCCTCACATTAATGCATATTAACAGAGCTAAGCAGATGTATTAGTAGAAATTGAGTATGAATAGATTAATGTAGAATGTCATTGCAACTAAAGCTGATTATGTTTGTTTCAGACCAAACGTGATCAAGCCACAGTCCTATCATGGCTGATGTCAAGAATTTTTTGTATGCCTGGTGTGGCAAGAAGAAAGTTACCCCTAACTACGATATCCGTGCAGCAGGAAACAAAAATCGTCAGAAGTTCTTGTGCGAGGTGCAGTATGTGTGTTGAAAGTTAGACATCTTTAAGTCTTAACAGTAGCAGAATGTAATTTGACATCTGCAGTTCCAAAATAATTACAGGAAAACATCATTTCACATTTTAAGAAATGGACGTGATGTGTGAAAGAAAGCAACAAACTAGTTAAATCAGTCTACATTTTCATTTCCTCTCTCTCCTTTAATAGTAGCAGAGTCTGATGCATGGGGGCTCATTACTTTCCTCCTGATATTTAAAAATGTGTTGTTTTATTTTGTTTTGTTTTTAATTCATTATTTTAGTGTGCATAAAAGGTACAAGCATGCCAGTAAGGCCACAACAGCAATCCCTAGCATCACAATATATGGCATGAGTAAATACTGCACAATTTTTGTTTTTATAAACATGCTTACAAGTAACTTTGCACAGGTTATATAAGAAAGGAAAAGCAATACAAGAGTTATGTCTGCTGATGATATTTGTTATTTGATTAGTCTGAGACGGTGTGGGCTTGGAGCTGTTACATTTAAACAGATGTATTTATTTTTTAATAGGTGCGTGTTGATGGCTTTAACTATACAGGCATGGGGAACTCTACAAACAAAAAGGATGCCCAGAGCAATGCAGCCAAGGATTTTGTCAACTATTTGATTCGTGTCGGAGAAGTCAAAAGTGATGAAGTGCCGTTAGTTGGGGTTTGTAGCCATTTGTCAAAATCTTTGAGCTTTCTATCATATAAAGTACAAGGAACTTCCATATACATAGACATTGGTCTTACTTTAGCTATCTGTGGATTTATATAGAGTAGTTGTTATAGACCCTGGTGTTGGCACCCAGAACAATTGGATAGAACTGGTACATTATCATCAGACTCAAGGTAACTGATCACAATAAATTATATTTGTAGCAGAAATATACTCTAGGCTGCTTTACGCTTAGAAAAGTCTAATCCACTTGTTGTTTTTGGGTTTTTTTTCCACAATTTATTTATATATATTTTTTTTATTATTATATTACAATTAAAGTATGGATCACTGATTTAATTTTACAATTCAATAATAGGTCACGAAGCTAATTCATGAATGCAACGTTGGTCCTTGTCAAAAAAGCTTAAAGGGGAACTGTAATTTCACATGCTTTTTAATCTTTTTTTTTTTTTTTACTTATCCTTTTATTTAAAATATATATATATATATATATATATATTTATATATTTATATATATATATATGCCTATGAAGGGAGTGAAAAATTAAATGTAGGAATTTATACCCCATTTTTTTCTCTGCGACTGGGCACCTCCATCTTCGGTCCCTGTCAATTGTGTTGGAATCAGAGTTATCAAATAAAAAGCATACAGAGAAGAGGTGAAATAAAACAATGTTTTTTTTTACCTGACTGTCATTTATAAACTGGGTTATGATGTTGTGTGCTAAATTTCTAATATGTATTTAAAAGACAATAAAGCATTTCACGATAACAAATTAACACAGCCTTTGGTATTTTTTGGTATTCTATTCAAAGAGAAGTGTAAATTCCAGAGAAGTGGCAGTTTCCTTTTAAGAATCCCTGATCTAGGACAAAGATAGATCTGTCACGTGTTTGCCAGTATTTGTTTTTTGTTCATGTTTAAGGTCAATTATAGGGCTGTAAAACTTCTTTTCTATTGTATTCATAAGCAGGCAGGGGATACTATGGATGGATTACAGCCTGACACTGCAGGAGGATTTGGTGGTCCATCTGGGGGTCCCTTGCCACCACATTTGGCCTTGAAGGAAGAAGTTGAAGGTAAGTGTCCATTGTAATATCAGATGACCGATGCTTTTGAAACCAGGGTTATTACATGCTGTCTTCTAAAACATTGCTTCATCTACATTGTCTGCTTGATGAACTCATTTTAAATATGCCAAAAAAAAAATTGTCATAAGCTACAAGATTAAGGAAATGGATTTGTGTTCTATAACCATGCTTCTTGCTATGCATTGTTGAATGTCACACTCAGTAGCACAGTGAAGTCTAGATTGTGTATAAGTGCTGTGGAACATGCTTCGACCTTACAGGCATTAATAACACTTGACAATATTGAGAAACTTCAACTGGTACACCAACCAAATCTACTGTTTACTAGGAAGATCTTACTAAGATATATTAATATTTAGAAAAAATAGATTTGTCGTATTAGTTCATTAACGTTGTAGATGGAAAAAGACTATTACTGCATGCAAGTTGGACACCACTTCATACAGAAAGACCAAAGCATTCAGGAGATTAAAATCAAAATACTCAAAGGAGAAGGAAGCATTTGAGTCCAGCATTGCAGTCTTCTTCAACACTAAAGATAGTGGACTAAATGTGGATTGGGACTTTGGGAGTTTTAAGAGTGCTTTGCTCCTTCTCATCGAGCTGACATATTTTTTTAAGTTACAGCCATAATCTTAATGAGTGTATATATGCAACACAGCCCTTGCTTATTGGTTTCTGCCCGATCAAGGGCAAATTTACAACACACTAGAATTGTTTTTTGTTTTTTTCTTCCTGCTTTTACCTCTGCATTACAGCTATTTTAGCTAGCTGGTTTCACTTTGGTCAAAAATGCTTTGGCATTGATAAAGGGGAGGAACTCCCAACAGCGTGTCACTATAAAAACACTTATTTAAAAACCAAACTAGGTATTTAACCCCTTAGTGACCAGACCATTTTTCAATTTTCTTACTGTTAAGGACCAGGGCTGTTTTTAAATTTCTGCTGTGTTTCTCATTTACTGTACCCACACATATTATATACTGTTTTTCTCGCCATTAAATGGTCTTTCTAAATATACCATTATTTTCATCATATCATATAATTTACTATACATTTTTTTTTTTTTTATAAAATATGATGAAACACAACACTTTTTCCAACTTTGACTCCCAAAATCTGTTACGCATCTACAACAGCCAAAAACACTTGTGATAAAAATTTTGTCCTGCGTTTAGAAATACGCAATGTTAACATGTTTTTACTTTTTTTTTTGAAAGTTACAGGGCTATAAGTACAAGTAGAACATTGCCGTTTCAAAATATTTAAAAATTTATCAATGGTGACATTGTAACCCTGTTATCTGTTATAAATCTCTGAATCACACCTCACATGTACATATATTTTTAAAGTAGACAACCCAGGATAATTAATATGGGGTATGTCCATTCTTTTTTTAGTAGCTACTTAGTCACAAACACTGGCCAATGTTAGCATTTATATAGCATTTATATTTGTGGGTTAAAATGCAAAAAACAATTATGAATGCTAGTTTTGGCCAGTGTTTGTGACTAAGTGGCTACTAAAAAAGACTGGACATATCCCATATTGAATACCCTTGGTTGTCTTCTTTTGCAAATGGTATGCCATCATGGGGATAATTCTCATTCCTCGGCTACCATATTGCCTCAAACTTCAATGTGAAAAAAACTGAAAATCTCAGCCTTATATTTGACCCTGTAACTGTCAAAAAACTGTACATGGGGGGTACTGTTATACTCGGGAGACTTTGCTGAACACAAATATGTGTTTTAAAACAGTAAAACATATCACAACAATATTATCAGTGACAATGCCATTTGTGTGTGAAAAATGCAAAAATCTTCACTTTCACTCACTATCATTGCTGTGATATATTTTACTGTTCTGAAAAACTCATGTTTTAATGATGTTTTGAAAATCTACAGTCTCGGTATAGGGCTTGCCAATTAAATTCTCTGGACTGTCTGCCTGGGTTGTCAAGCAGGTCCCTTTAAATTATATATATATATATATATATATATATATATATATATATATATATATATACGCTATTATTTCCTATATATGTATAATATATTATTAAATAAATAAAGCATTTTATAATACATTATACATATATGATTTTATTATAAGTGTATTTTGAGATATGTGTATATATCTCAAAGAACACTTTTAATGCACTCATATACATGCACTATATATGTATAATATATTATAAAATGCTATGGATGCACTGAAATTAAAATTCTGGACCGAAACCAAAAATTCTGGATGCCCTTGGCAGAAAACCGAAAATTAAATTTTTCACTAAATGATTTTAAAACCATTTTATATTCACCACAATTCCATATTTAGTGACTAGCTCTGATAGTCATCCACACTTGTAAAACACAATACAGCAATCACAAAGCCTCTTACTTACTGTAACACTGTTGTTTGCATTTCTCAGGTGACGGCGGATATAGTGTTAACAGTGTAGGTGCTTCCAATTTTAGTGGCGGTGCCAGCTGGGAGCGTGGAGCCAATCTGAAGGATTATTATTCCAAGAAGGAAGAGCAGGAGAATAAGGCTGTAAGATAATGTTGAAAGTGAAAAATAAATGCTACTGTCTAAGTATGAACAATGTAATAGCCTAATGCAATTTGTTCCCAATCCACCAGTCATTTGTAGCATTTTGGCAAATCTCTGAAATGCAGACTTGTAGCTTGCAGTCTTCATCCGGTAACTTGCAGAATGGATGGGTTATGGTTTCACCCATCCTTTGTTTGCTTTTTGATTTTATATGTAGTATATGGAGGGAGATTTTCGCTTGTATGTTAATATCTTAATTTTATGTTCTTTAAAATGTCAGACTCTAGAATCAGAAGAAGTGGATTTAAATGCTGGTTTGCATGGGAACTGGACTCTAGAAAATGCCAAGGCACGTCTTAATCAGTTCTTTCAGAAGGAAAAGACACAAGGCGAATACAAATACTCACAAGTAGGACCCGACCACAACAGGTTTGTGTGCATGCAGCCATTGGCTGACCCTTTTCCAACCTAGGAAATCTGAGATAAAATATATTGCACGGACACCCATTTCTTCCAGTTTTTTGGCCAGATATTCTTTCTAGATCCATATTTCAGTATTAATAGAAGGTTATTTAAGCGATTCTCTTAAGTATTTTAGCATAATGAGAACCTTCAAATCTGGATATAAAAGTGTGTAGTATTTCCTGAATTAGTATGTTATGTATATAATACCTAAGTTACAATGTGTGTTGTGAACAGCTTCATGTGGCCTTACTTTTTGTGTGCAATGGTTAAACGATAACGATGTTTGTAACAGTCTTTTTAAACACTGGCCCCTTAAAAGATAGCAGTTGATCTTTTAAGGGGCCTTGGTTGAAAAAAAACAATGTTCTCAACCTACAATGTCAAAGCTTTTAATGAGTGAAGCAATGATTGTCCTGCTTATTTAGATATGTCATTAAGCTGTTCCTTATGACGGAACCTTTGGCATTGGCCTTATTCAACAACTAGAGAGCTGCAAGATGAGAATTTTGGATTTTAGTGCGTGCCTGTGTGTTTCTTAGTCTGCCGTTGTGGAGCAGAGCATTACAGAGAGTATTAAAACTACTCCCAGTAAAGCTCGTACACACAAAAAAGTGTTTCTTGTAAGAGACTTAAATCAGATGTGCTGCTTTAAGGCTCTTAATATTATATTTGGGGTTTATGGATATGGTGGTGATAAGAAGTTTTATTTATTTTAAACTTTTAATATAATTTTGAATGCTTGACCATATTCACAAGACTCACAGTATTGCTGTCAGGTTTGTTGCAAATATCAAAGCTGTATGTATAATGTTATATCGTCCGCACACTTACGTGTAATCAACTTTTCAACTGTTTGTCGTCTAAAATATGAGGTGTTAACACGCTGTCAGGATTATTCTCAAGGTGAGAATTCAAACAGAGTTTCAAATTTAAGGTCAAAATATCCAAACCTAAAATAATAAATTTCTAAGTCAGCTATGCTTTCCATTCAGCTACCCTGCCCTTGTATTTGAAGTTTTATTTTAAATTTGCGTTGTATTCTCACAATAGTGAATAACCCTGTGAATTTTGAATAAAACCATACTAATAGATTGCTTTAGATAGATATGTTTAGTGGTCTTGCTTAAAACCTGCATCCAAAATAGCTAATATTTAGTTACATAGGCTGAAAAGAGACGTACGTTCATCAGGTTCAGCCTTTCTCACATCTGTTTTTGAAGTGCTTTCTAATTTTGCAACAAACTAGGGAAAAAATCATTCTTGATGCCACAAATGAAAAAATAATTCCCTGAATATTATGTTTTTACAAGTATTCATCCAGTTGCTGTTTAAACATTTGTACAGACTCTGATAAAAACCACCTCTTCAAGTAGAGAATTCCACATCCTTATTGTTATGGGAGAGGCAGGGAGACAAATCTATTATTTGCCCTAGACTAAATCTCCTTTCTTCCAGTCTAAATGCGTGACAGTGTGTCCCATGTATAGTTCTAATTATTAAAAGATTTTTAGAGAATGATTTGCATTGGCCCAGAATATATTTGTATACGGTCATATCCCCTCTGAGGCGCTATTTTTATTTTTTTTAAATTAAACCGATTCTAATTTAACCTTTCTTAACTAAAATGTTCCATTCCATTTTTTAATTCTAGTGCCATAATATCCTTCTTCAGAATAGAACATATTTAAGGTGTGGTCTTACATGGGGATGTAATGATTTTACCATGATTCCTTTAGGTGAAACCATTCCCTAAAGTAAGGAGGAAATTATTTTATTCAGAAAATGTGCCATATTCCTTCCCATGCTGTTTTAACATGTGCATAGGGATTTCTGATATTTCATTGGAATTTTATAGTTATTTCCACTTATCTTTGTTTCCAAGCACTAGCAGATAATTATGGGTGATGTAGTTCAATACTATCTGGAAGGTTAAATAGTAAAAGCCATCTCTCGTTAAGAATTTTAATGGATTTCCGACAAATATAGTAAGTTATCTACATTAATTGGACCCTAGAAATAAGTTTGGGACATTGACTTGTTCGGTCTTTTCAGTGAATGGATTAGCAGTCTTTGGCCTAATGCTGCTGTTTGTCTAAAACATTTTAGTTTAGGCTTATGATAGAAAATCATAGGGCGGAATTCTAAAAGTGGACCACTTAGCCACAGTAACCAGTCAAATATTCCTAGTGATTTCTTCACTTTGTAAAACTTTTGCATCAGAATTGCTTTTTATACACAGTGTCTCTACAACTCTGTTTTGATCCACATCACTATTTTACAACTACATGTTTAAAAAGTATGTGTGCATTTTATTTTTCTAATTCATTATTGTGATTCAAGTGAAAAAATTACTGTTTCAGTCTGTCTTTACAATTTTTAAGAGGTGTTTATATATTACTGTGAACAAGTTTACCTAATTCCACAACTCTTTACATTCTGTATTGGTGATAATGAGGAGAAATGGTGTGACACCAGGAATCTGCTTTTTTTTTAACATTTCGCACATGGTATAAAGCTTAGGCTGTACTAAGCAATCCCATGTGGAGTCTAAATCCAAATACTGATTCCTGGTGTCACTCTCTCCAGGTGACCAAAAGGCCGGCTGAGAAACACACAGGTGCAGGCTGCTAGGGAGACCTTTGCAGGTCAGTGCCTTGTGGACTGGGTTTGTATTAGTTCTGTGAATTAAAAAAGGTGTTGCTGATATAATAATGAAAAAGCTGAGAAATTTTAATTACATTTTTGTCTCTCTTAATGCATGTGCATCCAATGTTGCCTGCTTCTACTTTTACACAAACTAATTCTGGTGGCCTTTGTGATTCTCTTTTCCCATTGTAATGTTTTAATGGTACTATTTTGTACAAGGATAGCTTGTTTTCGGGGATGTTACTTGCGTATAGCTCCTAATATTTTGTTAGCTGTTTAGAACTTGGGGTGGGGGGAGGGGTGTAGGGGTCTTGCAGATTTATTTCTGTTTCTTGTTGTAAAACAAGTATAGCTCCTTAAATACATATATATTTGTCCACCCAACTTGGTTCTTTATTTGCCAAGTTAATCCATATGTCTGACACCAGTGCACCTTTAAAGGGAAAGTCCTACAGAAAATTTTACGAGGAAGCTATAAATTTCAAAATAATACACAAGACTCACTGGTCTTCTCTGTGTGTTGGACTTCTCATTGTATTACCATATATAAATTTAATCAAATGGAGCCAGCACATTCCTATGGATATGTAATATATTCATTTGCCTGATGTCTCCTGTGCTCTCTAGAATCACGCTCAAAATAATTTGAGACACGCGCATTTTCCTCATTCTGTAACTCTATATATGTTTAATTGGGACCTGCAAGTCCCTGTAAGCTGTATCTTGATTCCTCACAAAATAAGAATAAAAAAAATATATTCACAAAAATAAATATTTCAAAATTTATAAAACTGTAAACATGCTGATATCCTCTTCCAACTCAATGTAACAAAAACTGTGGGTATCAAGTGGTGGTACCATTGGACTTCCAAGAATAACTGTCACTTATTGTAGATTACATATGGAATAAACAAATTCCAGTAGTTAGTGTTAATAATTTATATTTCAGTTTTTTGACAAACTGGTGCATTCACCACTGCTGATGCTGCAATTAATGCTGATTTCTGTAGAACTTTCTCTTTTTGCATGAACTACTGGTGAATCTCTCAGAACTTCTCTGTGCCCTACCTGTGATTTGCTGTCCACTGTAGAATATTATTGTGTACTAGTTGCTAGCAAGTGTCGCTAATATTTAATTTGCTTAGTGTAAGTAACCCATTAATCTGTTCAGTGTCTGCAGTGTGATGTGCGTGTGTTTTGGCAATGTATAGTATTTGGGTGTGCTGTGTTTACAAATCTGAAACATAACTGTCTCTGCAGGAGCTTTATAGCAGAAATGACCCTCTATGTTAAGCAGCTCGGAAGAAGTAAGTCATCGTTTTTATTTAAATATTTTTCTATTAAAATATAAAATGTGTTGTATATCGTGTATTTGGGTGACATTTAAAAGGTACAATTTATACTTGGGTACTTTTGGCCCATGTCGGGGTTTTTTGTACAAGGATATTTTTAATTATGTTTGTCATTCTGGAAACAAAAAATTTTCTAATTTGATTTTCAGGGATCACCGCCAGAGAGCATGGCTCTAATAAGAAACTGGCCGCTCAATCCTGTGCCCTATCACTTGTGCGTCAGTTGTACCATCTGGGTGTAATTGAACCCTATTCTGGACTAACCAAAAAAAAGGAAGGAGAATCTGTGAGTTTCAATTGTGTGCATGTTGTTATAGGGTACCTTGTTTATAGCTCTTGCACGCACTATGCAGATACTTCCCTTTTGTGATGTGATGTTATTGCATATGATCTTGCTCCATATTTTAGCTTCCAGATTTTGGGAAATGAATATAGAAATACACTTTTTTTTCCTTAATATATATTACAATGTTATATATGTTTTGGTCAGGGCTTTAAAAGTGTCACTTAGTCACTGAAGTATGAACAAACCATTAAAGGGATACAATAGGTTTTACTTAATGAAGCTGTTTTGGTGTATAGATTATACCCCTACAGTCTCACTGATCAATTATCTGCCATTTAAGAGTTTAAAACACTACACTTGAGTACACAGCCTTCTTAAACACTTCCTGTAAAGAGAGATCTAATATTTAAACTTCCTTTATTGCACAGTCTGTTTAATTTAGAATTTCTTGTTTCCTGCTGTGTTAAGAGCCTCCTGTATTTGATTAAAGTTAAATTTACAGTGCAGGAGATTAAAACTTCTAAAATAAGTTTGAAAGAGCTGAATAAAAATGAACCCTTTTTTTTCTTCAAGCTGGCTAGTTCGGTATGGCTAAGGCCATTTGGTGCCTGTAATATCCCTGTTAAAGGACAACTCAATTAAGTTGTTATGGTGCAAGAAGATCCCAGGTGCCATCTTACCATAAGCGGTTTAACTGTTTAACACCAAAGTCTGCAAAACGGTGCCCGATCATTCTGCCCCTTCATGACCTATACAGACCTGAGGTTTCCGCCAGCAAGCCTCGCACCAGGCGCCGCTGACTTTTTCAGCATATTAGTAGCTCCCCATTTCGAAATGGGAGTTAAAAAAAAAAAAGTTACATATATTTTTAATATTATCCTTTTCATGTTTTGTTTTGGGGGTTTTCCCCCACTTTTGTGTATGTTTGCAATTGTTTGATAGGAGCACTCAATAAATATTTTAAGCCCTCAAAATTCCTTAAATAAGGACCACCCAGTTTTCAGCACTGGCAGAGGGTTATTAGGTGATTGTCAGACTAAATCCCTTTTCATCCCAAGTGACTCTAACATTCTTTGCAGGTGGAACCGTACCAGGTTACTTTGAGTCCAGATATTCAAAAACAGCTACAGAATGTAGTTCAAGAGCTAGAGATTGAATTGCCTCTCCCAGTAAGTAACGTTTTATTTCCATATGCAAATCTCCAGATAAAGAGATTGTTAATACTCGATTTCCTTTTAGCCTGAGGATCCGAGTCAACCAGTCTCTCTCAATCTGGGAAAGCTTGTGCATTTTGAGCCTTCGCAAAGGCAGAATCAGTCTGGAGTTGTGCCATGGTCTCCACCTCAGGAAAACTGGAATCCTTGGACCAGCAGCAACATTGACGAGGGTCCACTTGCTTTTGTAAGTAGTTACTATTTGTTTTTTGATTACGTTTGAACACCACCTTATCCATGATCCATACGATTGCATAGTTCGTGTTGGTAACAATTAAACAAAGATTTGAACTATCTACATCTGCCATATTGAATTTTGAATATTAGGATTTGTTTTCCTCTTCTCTCATTTAAAGGCATCACAAGAGCAAATCAGTGCTGATTTGAAGAGTGAAATGGAGTACCAAATGCAGCAAGATGGTAGCCTACAGCAGGTTAGTTGAATTGGAGGTTCTGTGGGCAAATGCATGGTTGCTTTTTTTTTTTCTTCTTCTTTTCTTTTGCAATTACATTTTGATTAAAGAACAAAGCATATCAAGTACAATATACGCGCAATGACCTTTGTTTTGTGCCCTTTGAACTACAGTGGTTTTAGAATAGTAGAAAACAGTTTCTCTGAAGAATTACTGAAAATGTAAAACTTCTTATATAATTGTTTTGTCAGATCCTCAGTGAACGAGAGGCTCTCCCTGTGAGAAAATTTCAGGATGAAATATTGCATGCTGTACACAACAACTCTGTGGTGATTATAAGAGGAGCTACCGGCTGCGGTAAAACCACGCAGGTCCCGCAGTATATCCTGGATGAGTATGTCCGGAATGGCAATGGAGCGCAGTGCAATATTGTGGTGACACAGGTACGGATACAATACAAGTGGAATTACCTGTGAGACAAAGGACTAGTGAAAACAAGATGCTTACATTTATCTATTTAGCCCAGGAGGATCAGCGCAGTATCAGTTGCAGAACGCGTGGCTTACGAGCGGGGAGAGGAGATCGGGAAGAGTTGTGGCTACAGTGTGCGTTTTGAGTCTATGCTGCCCCGTCCGCATGCCAGTGTACTCTTCTGCACAGTTGGTATGTACACTCAACACATGGACAGCAAAACTCATTGTGCATTCCAAATGTATGTTGTCTGTCCTCCCCATCTGCTACACATAGTATATGTTGTGTTCTGTATAAAGTAATCAAATGTTATAAGCTAACTACTTGTCTCTTGGAATTTGTTAAAATCTGTTGTCTGTGTGTTTTTGTTGCCTGACATTTCATCTTGTCTTTGACAGGTGTCCTCTTGAGGAAACTGGAGTCTGGGATCAGAGGAATTAGCCATGTTATTGTGGATGAGATCCATGAGCGGGATATTAATGTGAGTTGATGTTTGAGCTCGGGCCGTTTTGGTTTATATTGTACGAGCCTCCTGAATAGCATTTTGTACTTTACCAATATATTAGAAATAGTTATTAAAGGGACACTCCAGATTCCTAAAGCTCTAAAGTTGCTGAAGAGTTTGCAGTTTTGTAAAATAACCTTGTACCCCTCCACTGACTATCAGACAATCACTCCTGTTACTTCCTGGTAGTTTAGCTCAATGGAACTCAAGAGGCAGGCAATTGCCCGGAGCACCTGACTTGCAAATGCTTCTCTTTTTGCTGCATGGGAAGTCTATAACTGTACAGCCACAGAAAGTCTGGGGAAGATAGAGAGGGCTTGCAAAGGCTGCAGACAAGTTGTTTTTAGATAAATTCTCAATGGAAAAAATGTGAATAATTAAATGCATACTTTTTTTTTTTCATTTGGGGTATATATAGTAAATAGTGATTTTTTTTTTTTTAATTTATTTTTTTTTTTTTTATAAATTTGAGCAGTGGAATATTAGTTAAAGGGACACTATAGTCACCCAGACCTCTTCAGCTCAATGAAGTGGTCTGGGTGACAGGTCCCTCAGGTTTTAACCCTGGAGATGCAAACATAGCAATTTCAGAGAAACTGCTATGATTACATTGCAGGGTTAAGCCAGCCTCTAATGGCTGTCTTCCTGACAGCCGCTAGAGGTGCTTCTGCGATGCTGGATGCGAAAATCGCATTCAGCGTGCAGAACGTTCATTTAATGCCTCCATCACGCAGAGCGTCCATGGGCAAGCATTGAAAAATGCTTTCCTATGGACACTTTGAATGCGCGCGCGGCACTTGCCGCACATTCGGCTCTGCTGACGTCGGCAGAGGGAGCTGACATCCGCGGGGGAGGAGAGGTCACTGGCGCTGGAAAAAGGTAAGCTGCTGAAGGGGATTTAACCACTTCGTCACCACGGGAGGGGGGCCCTGAGGGTGGGGGCACCCTCAGGGCACTATGGTGTCAGGAAAACCGCTTAGTCTTCTTGACACTGTATATTATATGTAGCCTTGGCACTTACCCCTTTGTATATATCCAAATGTTCTTGCCTTGGTGCAAACCTGTGTACAAAATATAATCCAGGAATTAAGGGGTGCACTCACAGGTCTTTTGGAACTAGTAAACACATAGATAGGAATGGATTGACAACAAGGTTGGGCTCATCGATCAAAATATTGCTTTTGTTTGTTTCAAAGTGCCTTTGGTAAGGTGAAAACCTGTAACAAAAACAATCAATGTAGTGCTTATATGGATATATGTGATTAAGGTATTTGTATTAACCCCTTAAGGACTGGACCTTTTTTGCGATGTTGTACATTTGCGACCAGGCATATTTTTACACTTTTGTGGTGTTTGTGTTTGGCTGTAATTTTCCGCTTTCTCATTTACTGTTCCCATACAAATTATATATTGTTTTTTTCAGGACAAAAGGGGCTTTCTTTACATACCATTATTTATATAAACTCATGTATTTTAATTTAAAAAAAATAAAAAAATATGATGAAAAATTGAAAAAAATACATGTTTTTTACTTTTACTTGAAAAATCTTTTACTCATCTACAAAAGCGAATGAAAAAAACTGCTAAATAGATTCCAAATTTTGTCCTGAGTTTAAAAATACCCTGTGTTTACGTGCTTTTTTGCTTTTTTTTGCATGTTATAGGGCTATAGGTACAAGTAGGATATTGTGGTTTCAAAACATACATTTTTAAAATTTATCAATAGTGACATTGTAACACTATTATCTGTCATAAATCTCTAAATAACACCCCACATGTACATATTTTTTTTAAAGTAGACAACCCAGGGTATTCAATATGGGGTATGTCCAGTCTTTTTTAGTAGCCACTTAGTCGAAAACACTGGCCAAAGTAAGCATTCATATTTGTTTGTGTGTGAAAAAAGTAAAAAAACTAAATTGAACGCTAATTTTGGCCAGTGTTTGTGACCAAGTGGTTACTAAAAAAGACTGGACATACCCCATTTGCAATACCTTGGGTTGTCTTCTTTTGCAAATGGTATGCCATCATGGGGGTAATTCTCATTCCTGGGCTACCATACGCTCTCAAAGGCAACGTAACCAACCTGGCCATTTTCAATGTAAAATATTTGACCCATATATTTGACCTTGTAACTTTCAAAAATGCTATAAAACCTGTACATGGGGGGTACTGTTTTACTCGGGAGACATCGCTGAACACAAATATTAGTGTTTAAAAACTGGAAAACGTATCACAACAATTATATCATCAGTAAAAGTGCTGTTTGTGTGTGAAAAATGCAAAAAAAGTCATTTTCACTGACAATATCATCGCTGTGATATGTTTTACTGTTTTGAATCACTAATATTTGTGTTCAGCGAAGTCTCCCGAGTAAAACAGTACCCCCCATGTACAGGTTTTAGGGTGTCGTAGAACGTTACAGGGTAAAATACAGTGCTAGCAAATTAAATTCTCTGGAATTTCGGCCTGGGTTGGCAGGCAGGTCCCTCAAATTGCAATCAATAAAATTACTGAATTATGTAAAAATATTACATAAATACGCACGTAGAATTTAAATATATATGCATATTTATATATTTGAAGTCTATGTGTATATTTATATAATTATTTATGTAATTTTGTATATGGACATATGTATATTTCTTATTATTTTTATTTATTTTATATATACATAGATATATATACAAATTCATTCTAAGTGTATTTTGATATAAATATATATATTAATTTTAAAATAGTTAGAATAAAATTTCATATAGCTATATATAATTTTTTTTTTTTATTATTAAAAAAAATTATTTAATTTAAATTACTTATTTATATTTTATAATAATATATATATATACAATATATATAGTTATTATATATATTATATATATACGTGTGTAATTTAATTATAAGTGTATTTTTATATTAATATAAGTACATATTAATATAAAAATACACTTAGTATGGCATTATATATATATATGATATATAGACATATATTATATAGATATAATATATGTCTATATATCATATATACACATATATAATTTTTTTTTATTTTTAATTACTATTAACTTTATTTTTTTTTAATGATTTTACACATGCAGGGAGACACATGGACACCCATTGTGACCATGTGATCGCTGTGTTAAGCGATCACATGGCCACAGGGGTCCTAATTCAGTGTAGGGAGACTGTCTGGGCTGCAGGCAGTCTCCCCACAACCGGAGCCACGCTGATCGCCGCCGGGGGAACGACGGCGATCAGGTAAGTACATTGCACCGTTAGGACGGTTCAGGACCGTCATCGGCCGGCAATGGGAAAATGCCGATGACGGTCCTGGGTCGCGAAGGGGTTAAAAAAAGATACCTTAATGTGCGCTTTAGTGGTATTTCGCATACAGGTACGATTCCCCTCAAAAAATACTAAATATATATCATAGTGCAAAGCTTTTAAAAAAAAAAAAAACAACAATGTGTAATATCTAACAATGGAGCACTGACAAATTCAAGAGATAAAGAACCTAGCTCTGGTGTTAGCGGCAGTCTAGACGATTCTCCCCTTCTTGGTAACGACACTATCCCTGGCCGCTATCAGCAGAGCTAGGTTCTTTTAGCTCTGGAATTTGTGAGTGCTCTGTTGTTGGATATTACACATTTAGTTTTGTGTTTTTTTTTTTTTTATATAAAGTTTTGCACTATATGCGATATATTTTGTATTTTAAAGATACAGCCTACCTGTATGTGAAATACCACTACAGGTAACATTAAGGTGTGTGTGTGTATATATATATATATATATATATATTTATTATTATATATTTTTTTTTCTTTATTTGTATAGAAAACAGTATAATGTATAGAAAATATATTGCTCCACTATTTTCTATAAATTTTTTTACCTTAATTTGTCTTCTCTTTCAGACTGACTTTTTACTGGTTGTTCTGCGTGATGTGATCCAGACTTTCCCAGACATCAGAGTTATCCTTATGTCCGCCACTATTGATACAAGCATGTTCTGTGAATATTTTTTCAACTGCCCTATCATTGAAGTCTTTGGACGTACCTTCCCAGTGCAAGGTACTTTGCCGGTTCAGTATTCACCTTGGGAGAACTGCACGATGCTTACATAGCCTGTTGTAATGCTAATCACAAAATGCCCATTTGCCTCAATTGCATTATTTTCTTCTTCTATGCAGAATACTTTCTGGAGGACTGTATTCAGATGACCCAGTTTATCCCACCTCCAAGAGATAAAAAGAAAAAAGATAAAGATGAAGAAGGTGGAGAGGACGATGAGGTTTGTTGAACAGGTCACCAGTCAAAAGTGCAAGTGTAATTCTAGGATTTGAAATATAAAGATATCTGTTTGACCTTAAATATGTTGCAGTTGTATACACAGACATAACAAGACAACATATTGAATCTGTAGTCCTCGCCTATATAGGATGTGCATGTGTCCGAGTTCATTGCTTATGTGTATCTTGCAGGCTAATTGTAACTTAATATGTGAGGGTGATTACGGTCCTGAGACGCATCGTTCCATGTCACAGCTGAGCGAGAAAGAAACTCCTTTTGAACTTATTGAAGCTCTTCTAAAATATATTGAAACATTGAATGTGCCAGGTGCCGTCCTTATATTTCTACCCGGCTGGAACCTCATCTATACCATGCAGAAGCATCTTGAGATGAATCCACATTTTGGTTAGTAAAGTTATATATATATTTTTTTTTTTTTTTACATTTCTTTGTGCTGTGTTGGTAAGCCAATATGAAAATGGGTGTTTCAAAATATTTTTGTATGATAGTAGTACAAAAGATACTCAACCTGATGTATGGGAGATACATGTCCTGTCTTATTTGACTTCACATTTATCTTCAGTATATGTAAGTAGGATTTAAATGTGCTTGGCATCTCCAGATTTGGATTTTTTTGTTTATTTTTTTTAGTCTGCATTAGATATTTGTAATAGAAGCAGATTTAAATCTAAGAGGGGAATCCACAAAAGAACAGCATGCTTGTTTACAAGGCTTGTCCAGTGGGAAAGCCCCTAGTTGCTGCCTTGTCGGTGTACTAACTTTGACTTGGCAGGTGGTTGCTTTACGACAGGTCCTGTCCAGATGCATTTTAACCCCTTAAGGACCAAACTTCTGGAATAAAAGGGAATCATGACATGTCACCCATGTCATGTGCCCTTAAGGGGTTAAAAGGGCATTCCATGATGCAATGAAAATCTTATGTCTTAGATAGCGATACTAGATGATATTTTTTTATTTATTTATTTTTTTGTGTGTGTGTGTGTACGGGCAGGGGGTTTCATTCTCCGACTATAATACAATAATATATATTGAATAGGATCATCATCATTAGGGTTAATCTAAGCACCTTGATTTGAAGTGGTCATGGTGCTTGGAATCAGTATATGCAGTGTTTCATACTAATAATAAGTACTTCTATTGATGCTGCAGTAGGTGTAACTCCACCTTCAACAGTGTCAGTATGTCACATGCTATGCACAGAGTGTCATTCATTTGCTGAAAGTTCCCAGTCCATGCTCTCGGTCAATGAATGACCTGTCTGATCGGCATGCGGCTTCTGCAGAAGCCAGATAAGCATCACCAGCTTTAGAGGAGACTTGGTGCCAGTGGATTACCCAACCAAGAATGCAAACCGCTGCAAACAGTTCTCCTCATTACTGGGGAACAGCACCAGTGTACTCCTGGCATCATAACCGATGCAGTAGGCTGAATGATGCTTGGAGTAACCCTTTGATGTTTTTGTGTTCAGGATATGAAGCATGAATTGTTTGTAATGTTGTAGCCTATGCAACTGTCACTTACTGTAAATACTTCAAGTTGCATAACTTTTTATTAAGATATAAATGTTCGTCTTTCAGGTAGCAACCATTACCGCATTCTGCCCCTGCATTCTCAGATTCCACGAGAAGAGCAACGTAAAGTGTTTGATCCTGTTCCTGATGGTATAATCAAGGTGTGTTGCTTGTCAGATATCCGCTTAGTATATTGAGATGGCAGTAGTAGGAAATCAAACACTTCCTTTAAATGCGTATATCTTTTTTTTCTTTTCTTTAGGTTATTCTGTCCACAAATATTGCAGAGACCAGCATTACTATAAATGATGTAGTATATGTCATCGATTCTTGCAAGTAAGTTTTTCAATTGTTTGTCCATCCTTCACGTTAAACTCGCAGTCTTTTGGAGGTGCTATTTATTGCATTTATTATGTGGTCGACATTATGGTTTTACCCTCAGAGTTTTATTAAAAACGTTTAAAAATGAGTTTTCTTTCTTCAAAGGCAAAAGGTGAAACTGTTTACTTCTCACAACAACATGACAAACTACGCTACAGTTTGGGCTTCGAAGACTAATCTAGAACAGCGGAAAGGCAGAGCTGGTCGTGTGCGTGCGGGATTCTGTTTCCACCTGTGCAGCAGGGCCCGATTTGAGCGGTGAGCAGTCAAAGATTCTGTGCACTTTGTAATAATTTTTATGTTGTGTCTTATGACTGTGTCTTGGCAGACATTTTTATATGTTTTCTCTCTCTCTACCTCCCCACCAATATTAATTCAGTTTGGAGACTCACCTTACCCCTGAGATCTTCCGTACACCATTGCATGAAGTGGCTCTGAGCATTAAACTTCTACGTCTGGGTGCCATTGGACACTTCCTTTCAAAAGCCATAGAGCCTCCACCGTTAGATGCTGTGATAGAAGCTGAGCACACACTAAGAGGTAATTATATGTTCATTTTCTACAGGCAAGTAGAACGCCCATTAAGAGGAATGCTTTGGAAACGTATTTCTTTCTAACGCATTATTTGTCAGGGGCAGCTGTGTTTTTACAAAATGGTTTTTGAACTGCATAAACAGCCCACTCAACCTGATGATTTTTTTTTACTTTTAGAGCTGGATGCCTTGGATAGTAATGATGAGCTTACTCCCCTTGGCAGAATCTTGGCTAAATTACCCATTGAGCCACGTCTGGGGAAGATGATGATTATGGGTTGTATTTTCTAGTAAGTATATGGAGAAACAAAATAAGTGCGCATGTCATTGTGATATAATATGGATGATGTCACACACCAGTTTATCCACTCTTTGCCTTTATTTTAGTGTTGGGGATGCTTTGTGCACTATTTCTGCTGCAACTTGCTTCCCTGAGCCTTTTATCAGCGAAGGCCGTCGGCTGGGATATGTGCATAGAAACTTTGCTGGGAACCGCTTCTCTGACCACGTGGCTTTGCTGTCCGTATTTCAGGCCTGGGATGACGCAAGGTATGATTTGTACATATACACGTAAAAAAAGTTCAGTCTGGTTTCTGGTGGTAATGGAAGCTGCAGTAAATAGTTAGTGCATGTTATTACAAAGGATAAGGATGGTATGGGAAAACAACTGAATGGATAAAAAATACGGTACTATGGTGATCAACAAGTGTAAAAAAAAAAAGTTTGCAGAGGGACACCGTAATTGTGTAACTAATACGTTGGAAACATAGGTCCCTTCTTTAGATGTTATTTGACCAATAAGTCCAGAATGAAGGCAAACGTAATACCATAATTAAGCAAGCTTTGCACCCATGGCAACCTCCACACTTGCAGTTGTTTTCCTGTCCTGATAATCTTTATACTAGATGGCCTTTTGGTGGCATGGAGTGTGTAATGGTATATCATCCCTGAAGAAGGTAACTTAGTGTTCTGAAAGATTGCAGTCGTTGACCTATAAGGTAACAAATATAAATGCTATATTTGCCTCACTTTAATGTTTTTTAATCCCAGTTGTGTGTCAATTTAAGCCAGGCAGGTTGTTTTGTACCTTTTTGGTATTTAATACATACATGTTCTCCTGGTTCCAAGAGTGACCCTTTCGAACAAACCATAGTCGGCCTTTAATTACACATAACATGCAGTAAAATAAACCCATTTAAGAGTTTATTGATGCTGTTTAAAGTATGTGAATATTCTCTGTTGCCTTAGAATGGGAGGAGAAGAAGCAGAAATGAGATTCTGTGAGCACAAACGTCTCAATATGTCCACACTTCGCATGACATGGGAAGCAAAAGTACAGCTCAAGGATATTTTAGTAAATTCTGGTTTCCCCGAAGGTATGTATCCAGTTTCTGTAACATTTATCACAGTATAACGTGCCTGTAGAAAATTAAACTATAATTTGCTTTTTCTTTAAATTTTATTTTAGAGTGTTTAATGAATCAAGTCTTCAATAACACGGGCCCAGATAACAATTTAGATGTAGTCATTTCCCTGCTGGCCTTCGGAGTTTATCCAAATGTCTGTTACCACAAGGAGAAGCGCAAAATTCTTACAACCGAGGGACGCAATGCACTTATTCACAAGTCATCTGTAAATTGCCCTTTCAGTAATCAGGATCAGAAATATCCTTCACCATTTTTTGTCTTCAGTGAAAAGGTAAGCAATTGAGGGAATTTAATCTAACCATGATAAAGGGCCACACTTGAACGTGGGAGCTAGCTATCCTTAAAAGATATCGAGTCACACATTTATTTGGAATATGTTACGCTGTTTGGTCTGTCATAAATTTCTCATGTTTTGCATGTGTTCTCTAAATCTCAACAAACATACACAGAATCACTTTTGGATGTCCACTTACAGAATTAGTTCTAACATACAGAAGTATAATATTTCAGCAATTGTGTTCTCTTAGTGTCACGGATTAAAGGGACACTCTCGGCACTCTAAAGCCTTCATCTCACTAAATGGCTATGTTGCCTTGAGTTCTCTGGTGCTGTCCTTTAGTTCAGTTTTAAACCGTTTTTCGCGTTTTAAACAGCCCCCGGCAGCTTCCCATCTGTGCTACTTGGGCTAATGAGGAGACTTTAGTCTGAGTTGCAATGGGCAACAGTGATTTTTTTCGGAGCGTGTCAGCTGATGCTTGCGGCCTGTAACAACTGCCCATCTGGTATGGAGTGGGATGGCAACGAAAGAGTGTAATCTCTGCCTTAGTTATACCCCTAGTGGGTGGCCAGGGCCCTCATTCAGTGTTAAACTGTTTGAAAATAACACTGAATGGAGGGACAACGCCTGGAGACACCAGTCACTGAAACCAGTTCAGTGAGACTAATATAGTGTCCCTTCTAATCTGTATCACTGTCCTATTTTTTTCTGTGACTGAACAGTCTGCAAGTCAGGATAACTGTATGAAAATATTTTTGCAAATGTGTGAAAATTCTTGGCATTCGTGTGGGTTTTGTATGATTTAAGGCAACTAGATCCACCTGTCTTATATACACAAGGACTTAGAAAGGAATCTTAGCTTAAAAGGGACACTATAGGTACCAACACAACTTTAGCTTAATGAAGCAGTTTTTGTGTATAGATCATGCCCCTGAAGTTTCACTTCTCAATTCTCTGCCATTTAGGAGTTAAATCACATTTGTTTTTGTCTATGCAGCCATAGCCATACCTCCCCTGGTTGTGACTGACACAGCCTGCATGGAAACAAAATGGTTTATCAGATGTAAATTGCTTTAAAAGTTTATCTCCTGCTCTGTAAATTGAACGGTAATTACATAAAGGAGGCTCCTGCAGGGTCTGGCAAGCTAATAACAGAGCAGGAGATAAAGACTGTTAGATTAAATGGCGTTTGCAATAAAGGAAATGTAAATATTAGATGACTCCTTAGAGGAAGTGCTTGGGAAGACTGTGTAAGTCACATGCAGGGGGATGTGACTAGGGCTGTATAAACAATTTAACTCCTAAATGGCAGAGAATTGAGCAGTGAGCCTACAACTATGAACTATACACCATAGGTGCTTCATTAAAATAAGTTGACTATAGTGTCCCTTTAACATTGGTAATTTCATCTGCATTGCATGGGTCACGTAAACACAATCCTTGAAAGCTTCTGTTCATAGGGCAGGTTTTCTTTGTGCTAGGATGCACACGCATTATGACTGTATATGTTAAAATGACTTAAAATTAACCGTAATGAACATATACTGCAAGTGGGAAATCCACTAAATTAAGGCAATTCCTATGGGATAATGTCATTATTTGTTTTTTTTTTCTCATACAACATATTATGAGAGCCATGGGTGCTGTGCCAGGCAATCATCGAGTAGATGAGGTGATCACATTTTATCTTTGCTGCATTTGGAACATAGCTATGGGTCAGACAGCAAATAGTTAAGTATGGGTGACCCAGTCAGTAGCATGTCTAAGTAGTAGACCGCTTTTCGCAGATTTCTGTGACTGACAGACATGTTTATATGTCAGGGTCAAGGTTACAATGCTAAGAAATTTTATATTCTAAAAAGTATGTTCAGCTGGATGAGACTTCGGTCTTCTAAATTTCACACAGTATTTCTTTGTTTAGCTGGTTGCAATATTCTCACAATAATTAACTATTAATATAATTAACAAGCAATATTAACTCACGCTTTCATTTCACGTTAAATTGTTTCGAGATGCTTTCTTTCAATGTCCTTACTGCAGCTTCTAAAACACTGTTCATTTATTTACAGATCCGCACCAGAGCCATCTCTGCTAAAGGGATGACTATGGTGAGTGGCTTACAGCTGTTACTCTTCGCTTCCAAGAAAGTTATGTCAGATGGAGAGCTAATTCTCCTGGATGATTGGTAAGTTTGTTGTTTTTGTCGGGAGGGGAAGAAGGGGGCGCGTTTTTAGGAAAGTTAGTGCAGCATATGATTGAAACCACTTATGTGTTTCTGAATTAACTGTTATAAAAAACTTAAATGTTGACCATTGATCAGTGCAACACAAATGTGCTCAGTCACCCTTATACAATCATTTTGTTCAATTTAGCAAAAGTGTGTAATGCTAGAAAAAACTACCCAAAATTATGTCTGTTCCTTTTGAAGCCTTGTTACATAAAGCCTACTAGTTAGCTATGTCCTCTGAGCTGCCACTTAGTGTTATAGGTCTCACTCAACGAATAAGCATGGAGTGTGAGCCCCATCAGAGATTTCCCTAGACATTTTAAAGGCACATATTGTTAAACATAATTAAAAACAATTTTATAGCATTATTATGGGAAATTGTTTTACTTACCGTAATTTTCTTTTCCTGATAATTATTCATGGGAGCATTTACTCATAGGGTTAGCTCCTCCCCTTACAGCAGAAAGGACAGGAAATAGAACTCTAAAACTGGTATAAATAGATCCTCACCCTTCCCATCAGGCAGTCTTTGTAACTAGCTTCACAACTCATAATATATGGGTTGAAACATAATGCTGCTATGAATAATGATCAGGAAAAGAAAATGACGGTAAGTATGAAACCATTTTCATTATTCCTGATCAATCATGGCCGCATTTACTCATGGGGAATACCCAAGCTGTGTGTGTGTGTATATGTATGTGTATATATATGTATATATGTATGTATGTATGTATGTATATGTGTGTATGTATGTATGTATATGTGTGTATATATATATATATATGTATGTATATATGTGTATATATATATATATATATATATATATATATATATATATATATATATATATATATATATATATATATATATATATATATATATATACACACACAGACACCTAAAAGTTATAAAAATCATTATTGAGCTGCATAAACCTTAGAAGACTTAGAAAAGCCAAACCGTAATCCCTAGGATATTGTCATAAAACTGTTCAGACCATTAAATTTATCTTGGGGGGCTGCTAGGTCAGCAACCCCTGGTATTGAAATGTCAGAAATATCCTGGAGAAATAGAGCCAGATAGGCATTAAGGTCATGATAGCCAAACCTACTGAAGAAACAAGATAAGATTAGATTAATACAAGACAAATTCCTGTAAGAAAAAGAAACCCGTTCTGTTATGGATAATAAAAACAAAAAAATTAGATAAACTGCATAAAACCAAGACATGGTCTAGAAATTATAGACCTATAATATCCTTCTCGAATATAAATTAAATACCAAATGGATAGCGGTATCAAACAGGAGACCATTCACACCGCTTTGTCTTGCTTACCTGTAGATACAGAAAACAAAATATCTGCCTGTAAGAGAAAGGCAGAGCCTAGTATTGAAATAAGAGTCTGTTCTTAAAACATAGCAATAATGACTATATATTGCAAAAATCAGACTCTCAGCAATACCTCACACTGTGAATGAATTGTTTGATACAGTAATAAACAGTTACAGGAGAGGTAGAAACCAATAACATGAATAGATATTACTAGGCAAGTTCATGAAGAATCACATTCAGATTAGTTAAAAAAAATATCAGTATGAACCATAGAAATTGTGGCAACTACTAAATTATAAGTAGGCAATGTAGGCCTACAACGTCAGGACCTACATGCAAAGTTAAAAATATTGTAAATAGTACGAATTATTTCAAATCGTGAAATTAAATTGATTAGAGACTCTTGTGCAATGTCAGTAGGAGATAAGCTATAGGCAGGACACGGATTAAAAGGTGGTAACCAGAAGTACAGGATCCATTGTAGCAACAGACACATAATAAGCAGGATAGTAGAAGATATTCAGTTGTCCTTATGAGAATAAGCAACTGCATATTTACACTGACCTTGCCTATGGTGATAAGATCATTTTGCAGTTTGTTTTATCTGCAAAGATATCAACACCAGTCCAAGCATATAATCCACAAGAATTACAACAATGCAATGTTAGGAATGACCGTCACATATACCGATCTAGGTACAGAGACCATGTGAAACACAACAGTCAAATGTTTGTCACAATCAAGCTACGATATCATATTATGCAGGATGACTCAACAACTTAAAGCCATACATTGGCTGCAAAGTCCAGATAGTAGTACGCCCAAAAGAATCTCAATGAATATCAGAACAGAGGTCAGAAATGGGACTTCAAGTCCAGCGATTTCCCCTTATTGTTCTGGTAGCAGGTGAATTTTACCTGAAGTAGTAAACCTGGTAGAATGGTCTGGGGACTGAAAGACCTTCCAATACCCAGCATCAACGTTACATGGAGCATATGAGCCTAAAATAATACAATGCTTTCCTATGGGGATTTCGGCGACGCTGGAGGTCCTCACATAACGTGAGGATGTCCAGCATTGTTTTAGAACACTTTTTGGGTTCTATGAACACGGAAGTCTCCTCTAGTGGCTGTCTAGTAGACAGCCACTAGAGGAGGACTTAACCCTGCAATGTAAATATTGCAGTTTATGAAAACTGAAATAAGTACACTTGCAGGGTTAAGGGTAGTGGGAGTTGGCACCCAGACCACTCCAATGGGCAGAAGTGGTCTGGGTGCCTGGAGTATCCCTTTAAGTAACACTTGCATTCCAACTAAAGTGGTTGATTACTAATCCTGAAACACATGTGCAAAGACAAATCCTGAACACTAATGCAAAGGCAAAAAGCAGCATGTTTCTTTTATCTCCTTCATTCAGTAAACTGAAGTGGAAAAACCACAGTTTGTAATAGGTAGTTTTGTTTTGGTGGAACTGGGTAAAATTACTCCGTTCAAACACAGATCTTAGATCCAATACATATATTAAATATACTAAGGATGTGTATATATTGGGGTTGCATTATTTAATCCTCAAGTGCGTATACTAAGAATATATAAACCAGATAAAGTAAGGCTGTGTTTTCACAGAACTTCATGCACAGATTCTATCACTCACATATACTGAAACTGTGACTAACAGCAACCCTAACAAAGAGCTTGTGTTAGATCCATATACTTAAGTTGTTTTCAGAACAACTAAAACAACTGTGAATGATGGACTTTTATATCATTCACATATGTTTCACACTAATATATAGCGCATGCATGCATAACTCCTACATAGAGCATATAGTGGACTCATATACTGAGGTTGTGTCCTCATAATAACTCCTACATAGAGCATATAGTGGACTCATATACTGAGGCTGTGTCCTCATAATAACTCCTACATAGAGCATATAGTGGATACATCTACTGAGGCTGTGTCCTCATAATAACTCCTACATAGAGCATATAGTGGACTCATATACTGAGGTTGAGTGTTCACACCAACTCATACATAGAACGTGTACACACTGCGATTATTCCCCTTATGCCAACTCATATACAGAGATAATATTGGTAACACATACTGAGGCTGTGTGATAAACAACCTATAAAAGGTGTCCACACCAGTTCATTTAGATGATATCTTGGTCTCAAATGCTGATTTAGAGAAGCAGGAAGATCCAAACCATATATTAACTTCCATTCTGAAAAAGCACAGATAACCGCTATCATTGCCTCATGCCTTGATAGGAACAAGTGTCTGCATGAACTATGCATCAGGTTTTAAAACCCATGACATATACATTAGTGTAATTCAATCATTCAGTTAGGAAAGCTTTCTCTTACCATGTGTCTTCACTGTCTCCAGGACTGTGGTGTTTAGGCAGACATTATACAGCCAGGATATCATTATCAGCACTCTTTTGTAAAATGCATCCTTGCATTATCCGCACTTTTTGTAACATGCATCCTTGCGTTATCCGCACTTTTTGGAACATGCATCCTTGCGTTATCCGCACTCTTTTGTAACATGCATTATCTGCATTCTTTTGGAACATGCATCATTGCATTTATAAACTTACCTAAATGCTCACCACACAAACCTAAATGTGACCTATTTTTGTTAGAAGGAAGCCTAATGTAAGCAACTGGGAGGAACTGAAAGTACAGAAACCCAGGTGCCTATGCTAGTTTTAATTTAAATTACTAATGCACTCACCTGAGAAGTAAAACATACTAAACAGCCATAGAGACAGATGAACAGCTGCAGACCTGAATATGAGCGACAAATGGGGATTTGAACAACTGACAGGCATACCCAGGTAGTCACCTTATGGAAGTGCTGTTTGCTGGGTCTTCAGGGAAAAGAGGCCTAGTCCCAGCTGGGCCTCATGTATGCAGTAGACAGCTTTCATCCCCTGAGGGAGGGAGTTGGGTCAAACCCCTGGTCGCTGAAGGAGGTACCCAGGCTGGCAACTCCTAGAAATGTGCTGTTGCTGGATCCTCAGGGATTAGAGGCTGAACCCTGGCTGGGCTTCATGTAGGCAGTGGACCACATTCATCCCCTAAGGGAGAGAGTTGGGTCAGATCCCCAGACACTAAAAGGTTTACCCAGACTTGCACCTCATAGAGATGTGCTGTTGCTGGGTCTTCAGGGATAAGAGGCTGAACCCTGGCATGAATGCACTGGACCGCTTTCATCCACTGAGGGATAGATTGGGTCCAACCCCTGGTCACTAAGGGGGGTACTCTGACTGGCAAACTCATAAAGATGTGCTGTTGCTGGGTCTTCACTGCTTAGTGGCTGAACTCTGGCAGGGCCAGAAAAATATTGGCCTGATGAGCATTTAAAAAAAAAAAAAAAAATTCTAGGCCTGCTTCCAAACTACTATGAAGGACATGAAAAAAGACTGCCCGATGGGAAGGGGTAGGATCTATTTATACCAACTTCAGAGTTCTATTTTCTGTCCTTTTTGCTGTGAGGGGAGGAGCTAACCCATGAGTAAATGCTGCCATGATTAATCAGGAAATAGATGATACATTAAAGTCTTTAAAAAAAAATAAAAAAAAAATTAATTAAGATAAACTAAAATACATTTGTGCAACAATGCAAGATTACATATAACTCCTAGTCCCCGGACAGAATTCATTAGCCAATATCTCTTGTACCAAAAGGGTGAGGTTCTTAAAGGAACGCTGTAGCGTTTGGAATAGACATCTGTATTTTTAATGCTACAGCCTTGATGCCCCTTGTCATTTAGGTACTCCCCCTCCCGTATAAAAAAAATAAAATAAATGAAATTGATAAACTCAAAAATAATCGCCTTTTCTCCAAGGCCGAGTCTCCCTCGACCCTGCTGTGACCACCTCTTCAAGTGATGTTATCGTGGAGACATACTAGAGGAGCATTAGGCACCTAAGTCTAATTCTCGACGCTCACCATGATGTGCTTAAGATTCTGCTACAGATAATCAATTATTCTCCCTGGCCATCTGTGACAGCACAGCACAGCACATGCATGCATGACTTTATGGTGTGAGAACCGTAAAGTATGATTCCCAGCTCTCATACCAAGAGGGCTTGGAGGCTTGGCTTGAAGTACCGCTTCCAAGCCCTCTAATTGGTTTACTGCAAAGTTTTGTGGGGTAGTTGAGGGGGACAGGACTGCAGGCACTATGACCACTTGATTAAAATGTAGTTGTAAAGTGCCTATAATGTCCCTTTAAGAACTTGTTTAAAACAAAACACTTCAAACTAACAACTTTGTTATGGATTCATCAAGATACCAATAGCACTTTATCTCCATTCCAAAAAGACATCCATGCATGAGGTACCAGAGCTTGGTTGAATTGTTTTTGGATTTGTTGTAGAACAAGGGGAGCCCCAGTAATGTAAACACAGTAAGGAAGACCTAAATATGTATATATAATTGTTCCTGTAACTGACACTTATGCACTGTTTTCCACAATAATATCCAATTATGCCCTTTTGATTTATTTAATATATCAAGTACTATATGTGTAACATTGGTTCTGCTCTGGACAATAGCCCAAAACTCAAACCCATTACTTCTCAGGAGGCAGATTATAAACTGAGGAGGTATGAAGTGGGAGAAGGGACACATTTACTGCTTGTCCAGGTGGATGGAGTCCTTAACATGGTGCTTATAAGGCAGGTTGCATAAAATGTTGTCTCACACCTGTACATCCTGTCTTAGGATCAAACTGGCAATGCCTCATGAAGATGCTGCCTGTATAACTGCTTTGAGAGCTTCTATGGAGGCATTGGTAGTAGAAGTCACAAAAGAACCAGAGATTTTATCTAATTTTGATCCAGTAAATGAGAAGATGTTAAACATGATCCGCTTGATATCAAAGCCCTCCACATCTGGCCTTAACCTCATGATGGGCAATTCCAGGTAAGCCAAATATTTTATTTCTCTATAAAACCTGTACTCTGATTATATCCAAATTACATTCTCTAAACATTTATTTATTTATTGGAACAGTGATCTTGCCACTTGCAAATTAGGGAATGTGCATGAGCTTAAAACTAGTTGAAGGCACAGTTAAGGCATTGTTTCATATGAGAGTTTGTATAATTGTTTTCTTTTTTCTTACTATGCATGTCCTTACATTTGTTTTTAATATAAACTTTCTTAATGCAGATTTGGTGACGGTCCTCGTCCTCCAAAAATGGCTCGATTTGATAGTGGATTCCAAGGAAACAGAGGAAGGGGCTACCAAAGTGGATATAATTCAGGAGGTGGTTATCGAGGCTCTGGATATAGAGGGTTTAGAGGTGGTGATGGTGGCTACCGGGGAGGAAACCAAGGAGGTGGCTACCGGGGAGGCAACCAAGGAGGTGGCTACCGGGGAGGCAACCAAGGAGGTGGCTTCCGAGGAGGCAACCAAGGAGGTGGCTTCCGGGGAGGCAACCAAGGAGGTGGCTTCCGGGGAGGCAACCAAGGAGGTGGCTCCTGGGGAGGAAACCAAGAAGGTGGCTTCAAGAGTGGAAACCAAGGAGGGGGATATGGAGGTGGTTATCAAGGAAGAGGTGGAGGTTTTGGAGGAAACTACAGAGGCCGAGGTGGTTTCTAAATCCTGTGAATTATAGGGACTTTTTTTTTTCTTTTTTTTTTTTTCTCCCCCATCCTTTTAACCCCTTAAGGACCAAACTTCTGGAATAAAAGGAAATCATGACATGTCACACATGTCATGTGTCCTTAAGGGGTTAAGGGAGAAAGCTATGTGCATGTTTATGTATTGGAAATTAGTAGTAAGTATGTACTGACATCTGAAAAGTTCTGTTATTGGTTTGTATATTTGGCCTTTTTATTTTATATATGTCTCCGATATTGTTCTGCAAAGTTAAAGAAAAAATTGACCAACAAATTTAACATAGACAAAAACAATCCTTTTTTTTTTTGTGTGTGTGCATAGTTCTATTCTTTAGACCTCCAATTTATCAAAATCTTCATTTTCTAGGAGTAATGCTACAAACTGCAAAAATGTAACCTATTTAGTGTTTTATATACTGTGAAACCTAATTTGTTGCTGAATAGGTTATGTCCTGTAGTAAATCATTTCTGTTGGTTTGCAGTTTCTCAAAGCATGTGTGGTTTCATTTATAAGCCACATTTCTTTCCCTCAACCATGACTCTTCTGCAATCACTTTTGCCAAATTTTGTAATCTGTAATTACTTACCTTATAGAAAATAACAAGGTGGCCACGCAAAACTGCCTTTCTATTTTGTTTGTTGTATTCATGCCCAAGTGTACATTGCAATTGCACTCTCAAGTGCTGATGAGAGGATAGTTCTGTATATTGTGTTGTTGTTCTGGTTTTTCTAATAGTAAATTATTCCTCTTTTGTATGTGCTCACATTATTTTATTTTTTTCAAGCCACTATATAGTTCTGGGCAGTGCAAAAATAATTTTGATTTGTTTTTTTTTTTTTTTGGTTTTTTTTTAAATTGTCCTCCATTATTTCATATTTTCAAAATGGCAAGTGACACACTTGTAATTTCTGTTTTAAAAAAATAAAATTAAACCCACTAAAAGCTGTAGTTCTCGATTTTTATAACCTTGGATTAGCTTCCAGTTATGCAGCAATGGCTTCACAATACCTCTGTTCAAATTAGAATAATTACAGGAAAATTAATCACATTCTCTCAAATGTTTTCAGTGAATATTTTACAAATACATCAAAAGACTTTTTTCGTGTCAGAAAATAGAAGCTGTTAATTTGGTTTAATGCTATGTATAAATAATCACAACACCTTCTGCATCATAGTAAATTTCTTAGAACAATATTATGTATTCTAATAGAGGTTATATTTAATACAGAGTTGAGTATTAAGATAAACTTGACGTTTCCCCTACATTTTTCTTTAGTTTTGTTGTTAATGACAAGGTCAAACGTTTGCAAACTTGTGTAAAGAACATCACTATATTCAGGTACTGCTTCTATAATAATAAAAATATAATCGGAAGTATTTTTTTTGGTATTGTTTGCACCTGGAAAAACCAACTCGCAAAAATACAACCTTAAAAAAAAAAAAAAAAGAATAATCCAAAAGTGTATATCAGTTTGGTAAACGGTGTGATTGTGTACTGAAAGGACTACGCAAGATTCACAGCAATACCCCAGCAGCTCCTAGTTCTTTAGAGCACAGGAGATGTCACTAATAGTGGCAGCTGTAGGGGTGCCGACTTAGCCTTTAGAGAATTTACATGACTGCCAGAAAATAAGGTTCCAATAAATGTACAGCACACCCCTAGATTAAAAGTTATGCTGAATTTATTTTTTATTTTATTTTTTAAATCTGTTCATTATCAGTTACACAGAATCTTCATTAATAATACTCCTTTAAAAACCGGTACAAGGAATGCATAACAATAGGAGTTTGCTGGATAATTGAGTGCTCCGTGGCAGTTTGATGGGCAAACTTGTACCTGACCATGAACAAGTTTGCACATCAGTCAAAGAAACCAGCTATCAATATTAACTTGCGCTGATTCCATTCTGTAGAAATTTGAGGATCAAAGAATTGTCATTATTCTGATATAGGCACTCCAAATCATGTGATAGATTGGTAGCTTACCAAATTACTGGTAACGGAAGAGATCCTTAGTGAGAAGATCCTGTCTTTAGTCTGACTCTGATCAGAGTCATGCATAACATCCAGTCAGATTTGATGGCGTGCACAGCTATGTGAAGTGGTTAGGCAGATTAATGTACGGGGGGGAGGGACCGGGGATGGAACCTGACTGCCTAGATGGCCGGAAGTGCTCTCTAACAGCTGCGGCATATGGGGACAAAAAACGACTAACAACTGCCTCAGTCTTGGCTCTGAGAGACTGGAGGACTGACCTGACGAAAGCGTGCACACTGGGATATCCCCCTGCTCAGGTTATGCTGTGACCTCAGTGCCTTATGCTGCCCTGCAGCCCGCCCAAGGGCCCTATTGGCACCACCTCAGACCCATTGTCCATACACCCAAAGTAGTTCCCGAGTACCGGAACACCCGAAGGCCTACGGTTCTACCGCAAGTAGCAAGGGTACCCATGGACACGACAGTGGCTCTCCTCACGGCCTGGGCTTGAAGACCTGCACGAACACAGTAAATAACCACACGTTGGGTTCGCAAGGTGAAGGGTTCTGACAGTATTTTTAACACGGAGAAGGACTCTCTTACATAGCCTCTTAGTGGAGTGGGCTAAACGTTCACAAAGGACGCTCCACATACTTGCTACTCGGCACTAATAAGCTATATTGCTTCTTTGTCTATACTAATCATCCTATCCCAGTACCCAGCGGTATACATAATCTGTTTAGCATGTTACAAAATCGTTTCCTTTCATTTCTGATATTCGTATAGTCAGTTGATCTAGCCTGTTTCTTATTATAAGTAATTTTGTCTCACCACCCACTGTTGTGGCTTAGCAAGCTTCTTGTTATTCTTTGCACAACATAAAAAAGACGGACACAAAAAATTTTTTTAATGTACACACGTTTTATTTACGGAGCTGTCACAGATTTAGGGCTTCAGTCGTGAAGAGGAAAGCCTAAAGAAGCTGGTTTAAGGATCAAAAATTCATCACGTCAATAAAGCCTCATAGAGAAGAAATAATACCCACCACAAGATGGAGCAAAAACATAAGGCTCCAACAGGGTTGGAAAAACAATGTGGAAATTCAAATACATCTGTGCAACTTACTTGATTGAGCTGTCAAACTCGTAAATTTGATTTAAAATTTGCTTTTAAGGGTCCTATCTGAAAAAATTCCAGTAAGCAGTCATAATAGTAACCCGAAGAAATAAATGTAATGGTTAGGATCTTTGAGACTTCATGGGGTATGCATTTTATGTCCTCTCCTGGTGATATATGCCATCACAAAATGGTATACAACTGATGCAGGTTCAGAGTGTATAGAAGATCAACTTCAGTTCAAGGGTATTGACTGTCCCCTCCGTGATCACAGTACTGCATCCTTGCCTGAGAGGCTGGAATCACAGCTGACCAAATGTGCCTGTGAGTGGGCCATCCCTAAATCTGAAACAGATGTGAAACCTAACCTTTAAAAGACTGCACTAGGTAGTCGGAATAAACGCAAAAGAGCTTCACAATCCCTTTTCCACTATCTGAGTAATAGGTGGGTTGCCCAAATTTGTAACCTTTGCAAGGAGAATTTAACCATTGAATTAGAAAGCAGTACGGCAAATAGCAAAATAAACCATGTAGGTTTTCCAAACATTCTCATGCAGATGCTATTTACAGTTCGACTTTCAAACATAACCTTTATAAATGGAACCAGGCTATACAGACATTGATGGAATGGGAATATTTGGTAAGTAATTGACATGCAAAAATAATCTTGACGAGAGAAAATAGGTGAAAGCAGTGCTCAAAAGAGCTTGCAGTCTCAATCCTGATTGCTGAAAAGGGACACCAAATGAATTACTCCCAGCAAGAATCTACCTGGTTAATCAAGGTTGCATGGATTAAGAGATAAAGAAATTATAGTGGTGTATGTTCTGACTATGAAAACTAATTCATTTTTTTTTTTTATATATCCCAAAGTGCTTGTAGAATACCAAATAACACTCCATAATTGGTTGTGGCAAACTAAAACCACAAAGCAGGATTACATGAGATTGTTTCGATGTATCAGAATATGTAGATAGTCATCTTTAGGATGACTTTGTCCCTGTATGATTTAGTGCTATAGTTGTCTCTTTAGAAGGTCCTCTCATTATCAATATATTGTACACCCAGTAACAGACTTGGCAAAGTCTTGCTCACCCTGGCATTGTACCAAGTGTTTCATTTACCAAACTTGCCACTAGATGCTTTGTCTCTCTAGTTTTGAGTAAACTTGGGTATTGTTTTCTACATGAATGCAAATTTGTTCGTTTTTCAGGCAATTTATTAATTCATACGAATCACGAATGAACTAATTGCTTGGATTTAAATTTGTCTATTTAATTCATTCTTTGTTATTCGTTTAATCACAAGGAACAAGCTACTGGCTCCCTCCTTGTAATTAGATAATTTAAAAAAAATAAAATAGAAGCAGTTACATATCTCCCGAACTAAGTGTGCAGAGCTTATTTATTCCAACAGCGTATTATAGCCCTCACTGTAGTATTTATACCCAACACGCAGAATGTAAATCCTCCAGAACGATCGAGACAGATAAAAGGTCCTTAAACCGGTCCTTAGAATGGCCACATCGATACAGTAAATACAAGGAACAAGAATGTCAGAACAAGCCAAGGTCAAGGGAAGCCAGAAAATCACAAATCCGAACAACAGAGCAGAGTCAAGACAAATCCGGGTCAATACTAAAATACAATATAACAGACAAAGGAACGCACTATTGGGACATTAGGAACCACAACAGAGTAATGTGCCTTGGACTAGAGAAAATTTATGACCAACTTACTGTAATTTTCTTTTCCTGGTTATTTCTCATGACAGCATCATTTATGGGTAGCTTCTCCCTTAGCAGTCACAAGACAGGAATTCATTAGATTATTTAGACTGATAGGTGTAAAGAGTCCCTCCTCCCCTTACATCTCCAATTCAATTATCCAGTCCAATTATAAAGCTGAAAATAAAAGAATGGACGGGAATCCTGATGCTGCCATGAGAAATAGCCAGGAAAAGAAAATTACAGTAAGTTGGTTATAAACTTTCTCTAATCATGGCAGCATCAGTTATGGGTAATACCCAAGCTATCAGAAATTAGGTTGGGAATAAAACCGAAAAGACTATACAGATACGCATGCTGCAAAGTAATTTAATATTAGTGGGATAATGACACCGTAGACAGAACACTCTTCCCAAAGAATGTGAAAGAAGGGTCTACGTCCAGTTTGCAAATATTGCATGGAACCTCTGCCCAGTTACCCCATGAAGTAGACAATGCTCTGGTAGAATTTGTCCTTATCGTAACTGGAGGAGACTGACCCTTGGAGACATCTATCATAATTCTGTTCGACAAAGGTTCCTCCAATGGAAACCCTTTTGCCAAATTCTCTCTGCTCTTCCACCAGTTTAATCCCATTCTTACCTGTGATTGTATTTTTCCAATCTTTTCTTGGATTCTCCAAGCCCTTTCTGAGGAAAGGCACACGTGGGCTGAAATTGTATCTATTACTGCTCCAAGGAAGACGATATTCTGAGAAGGATTCAGGGAACTTTTCTCTATGTTTAGGAGCCAGCCATGATCCAGAAGAATGTTCATTGCCACTAGAGTGTGATGAGTCACTATCTGATGTGATGGGCCTATGATGAGGATATTGTCCAGGTAATGGAAAATTTCTACTTTTCTTTCCCTTTGAACCTTTGAGAACGTTCTTGGTGCCAGGCTAAAAACCAAACGGAAGGCCCCATAATTGAAAATGCTTTTCTAGAGTTGTTTATAGGGATTTGGTTGTAGGCATCCCTTAGGTCCATGGAAGACTTCCCCTAGTTTGATACTTTTTATAATGGATTGCAAGGATTCCATTTTGAAAGTCCTTACGTTGAGCATAGCATTTACTTTTTTCAAATTCAGAATTAAACGCCACTTCCCTTGTGGTTTTGGAGCTAAACACACTATGGAGTAAACGCAGAATCTCTCTGCCTTTGGAACTTCTATTTCCCCTTTGTTCCAGCAGTTTAGAGATGCAATCCATCATAGCCTTTTGTTTTGTGCCCGTCGATACCCTTGATTTCCTGTCTTTGGTAAGAGGAGAACTCTATTCTGTAACCCATTTTATGATGGAATTGACCCAGCTGTCTGAGTTATTTGTGGCCCAAACAGGGTAGAAGAGCCTTAGTCTTCCTCCTATAATTCCTGACTATTCTAGAATCTCTCCCTCTGGAATTTTTATTCGCTGATGACTGGGGAAGGCTTCTCCCCAGCTATTGGAATATTCTCTTCCTGGTTTATAGCTTCTGCTATCTCGAAAGGACCGATCCTTGAATTGCTTATTTTTCCATCTTGTTGCAAAAAAAAGTTTTTTTGCATTCCGCAGCCTTTTGTATGGCTTCATCCAGTATTTTACCAAAACAATAAATCCCCCTGGAACAGAAGGCCACACAGGGATGCCGTGAAGGCATAGTCGGCACCCCATGAATGAAGCTATATATGAGGCCACAGACAAGGCCATACCTTTTGCGATCATACGAGTGATGTCTAAAGAGGCTTCTGAGCAGAACTCTGTAGCCAGGCTGACATACTTGAGACTTTCCAGGAGATGTTCTCTGCGCACTCCACAGTCAATATCCTCCTCTAGAATTGCAATCCACACTCTTAAGGCCCTTGAGAGAGTGGTTAAGACCACTGCCAGATGGAGGGCGGAGCCTAAGGCTCAATAAGATTTGATGAGAATCCATAAATTTTTTCCATTGGTTCTCTGATAGGCCATGGAATCAATGGGGAGTGTAGTTTTCTTAGCCAAATGTATTACAGCAGCGTCTTTTCTTTATGGCTTGTTCCATTCTTGGAAAATGGTGTCCCTAATCGAAGAATGCACTGGAAATGTTGGTCTGTTTGGTTTGAGATCCTCAAAGAACCTGTCTGTGTCTCTCAACTCTGACTTCTCTTCCTGAGGTTGTGTCCCTTATAAGGGTATTAGCCTATCAATAGACTGAGAGTCCAAAGACCTGGAGAAATATTCAACATCATCCTCACCGTCATATGAGACCACCCATATTTCAGGATCTTCATTAGAGCCTGAAAACTGAGGTTCTGCTCTGTGTCTTTTATTTTTTTTTAAGGACCACTTTTATCCGTGGTAGACTTAAAGCCCTCAGCAATAGCTTGAGAAATCCAATGTTTAAGGTTGTCCTGTTGGGAACTTCTATTTGAAGCATCCGCTATTTCCAACAAGTACTCTCTGCAAAGGTTCTTTCCCTGAGGTGTAGAGTACGTACAATTCAAGCATTTATTGGTTTTACCCCTTGCTTTTCTTAGATGAGAATTCATTGTTTTGCTGGGGCTGAAATAAAAGCAATATATGAACATATATTACAGGGTTATTCTGGCACTCTTTTTAACACCCCCAATAAGAAAAAATAATTGGCTCAGCTATGTTTTCTATAGGGGGATCT